AATAGCTTGCTAGATAGATGGCGCTTTACAAGTGCTTGTTATTATGCCAGAAATAGTAAAAGAGGGAAGGAATTCCATGTACAATGATCTAATAGCCACCTGAAAGCAACAAAATGTCCAAAAATTCAAAGTTAGCTGTTCAAATATGGAGGTATTTACTAGAAACCACTTAGAATTGTTCATACCAGTCTCATAGGGTTTGTGCACTGGGCGTCAAGTGGCGTCTGCATGTGGAATCTTTTCCAAAAGAGAACACACCAAATATTTATATGCATGGCATACGGCTCCCACATGACCGGTATGTCCATGTACATGTTTCCAGACATGTTAAGGTTGATTTCCAACCTGCCATGCATTGTCAAGTGTCGGACCAGTCTCGGGCATAAAAAGATGGTGTTCACTAATCAATTTCTGATTCATTTTTCTTGCATATTTTATCAGGTTTGGCAGACAGGGAAGCAGCAGGCTCGTAAGGTCTTTGACGTGTATGGTAACATCGACCTGCTTCGGCCGTACTTTGATGTGGAGCCCAAGACTGTAGTTCACAGGTGATAAGGGGAATAGGAGTAGAATAGATTTGCAAATTTTACCGAGAATCTGGAAGATTTTGTATAATTTAAATGCAAAACAGTTTTATTTAACTCCTTTGGTTGTTAAAAACTTTTGTGAATCCTCCGAAATCATACAGCTTACAGGAATCCATTGCCAATTTTTTTGTGTAAGAGGCATACAGTCCTATATTGACAGGTTATACCTTCCTCAATCCTGCAAAGTCCACCAAAACCTGGTGGAATTTGTAAGATCTTGGTCAGTTTTAGGGCAGTTATCCACACCGCTACTTCCAGATTTACTCTTTCAGAAGTTTTTTGCCAGTTCATGTGCCCTAGGCTACACAACGTATGGCACGATCCTGAAACAGTTAAGGGCATACTTGGGGCAAATCAGCCCAATTGATATGTCATCCATTCCACCAATTGTAAGATTCTAATCGCCCTCATCCAATTTGATCACCGTGCTCCTTCTGTTTCACCCTCCAGACTGGTCTTGTCATTATTGCCGTTGAGACCCTCAAGCACTCCACAGAAGGCCGTCGGGGAGTTGTACGGGCCGCTCATGATCGTCCTTACCCTGGTCGCTATCCTGTTGATGGGAATGAAGGATGCAGGCCACACAGTGGTATGATAACCATGCCATAGCCGAGTCTATTTCTGTTTTATTTCATTTTAGCAGCATGCTGAGTACAATTTTAAATGCACTTGTTAGTTCTGCAACCCAATTATTTGTAGTTCTAAACTCTTGAGTTGGAGCACTAAACTCACGAGTTGAAGTACTAAACTCTTGAGTTGAGGTACTAAACTCTTGGCTTATAGTACTCCTAGGGTTGTAGAAGCTGACCGTAATACTTACATATTTACCTTTAACCTTTATACTCGGAGGTCACAGCATGTAGAGCTCAAAGGGTTTTGCACCGTATTGCTAAAATTTTAGTTTGAAGTTCTCTGTGGTTTATATTACACCTAGAGTTGTAGAAATTGGCCGCATAACTTAAACCCTTGAACTTTTATTCAAGTTCAGTAATAAAAGAAAGTCAAATTTTGATAAGCCGAATTCCTCGTCAGGTCATAACGCCAAATTTGGTGCACTTTAATTTTGTTTTCTAAGCTGTCCTGTTTTTTTGGGGGGGGGCAGAGAGAAGGTACCCTGATGGGCAGTGCTATCGGCATCAGCTTTGGTTACTGGCTGCTGGCGTCTGGCTTGTTTTATGGTGTCTCCTTCATCTGCAACACGCACATCACATTCCTGCAAGTGTTATCCCTGACGGTGAGTCAGCACTTTGAAAACCAGGGCTCAGCTGCGTATAAGCAGAAATGCACTGCTAAGACCGAGCTGTGACAACGGTCATAAATTAAATTTCCACCGCGGTGACCCAGGTTCGAATTCCATCCGGGCCGGCACATGGAGTAGGTTGGCAGTCGCTGCCAAATATCATGGGTTCTTAGAATGTTTCTCTGAGATTTTAATCCTACTTGTCAAACAGAACATTTCTTTGTTGTCATATCTCAAATTTTTTTTCCAGGGCATGGCAACTGCAATACCCCCGGTGCTTTTGAGAAATCCCGGCTTTCCTCCCTAGAAAATCAATAAATGACAACAATAACTTCTGTTATCTTGCACTTCAACACAGGGATACGGGATGTTCTCGTTCTGTATCGTGCTGTTCCTCGGTACAACACTCCACAGTGCAGTGTCACATACATTATTCTACACTTCCTGGGCCATCCTCGGAGGTCTGTCTAGCTTGAGAATGGTGAGTGAATTCAGTGTGCAAGGCGTCAATATTAGCCCTGTTGGGCAGTAGCAGGGGCCAACATTTTCAGGTAGTCATCCATTGTAACGTCGGTTTTCAGGAAGGGAACCCAGTAGGTGGTGTGTAATACCAGTCCCATCAGGCAATAGTTTTGGCAAGTATTTCATATTTGCCCATCCATTGCCATGTTGAAAATCAAAAGATGCGAAACCAGCGTGTTTGGTGGAAATGTGAGTCTTGTTGGGAAATATTGCGGCCAGTAACAATACCCCTTCCTGAGCCCTGTAGAAGAATATGTTTTGACAATCAGGGAGGCGGAGTGTGTGAGTGAAAATATCCCATCAGCACTGCCAGGCAATAATTTGGCACTGCCATGCAATAGTTTGGCACTGCCAGGCAATAGTTTGGCACTGCCAGGCAATAATTTGGGCAATATTTCCATACTGACCCACCCTGTGTTGGTGTGTCAGATCCTTATCAATATTTTAAAGAAATCTTAAGTTTTCCCTTTTTTTTAATCCATGGTTGCATCTCAGGTGGGTGTGTACTTGTCGCGAACCAAGGGTCGAAGTCACAAACTGACGATAGCCCTGACGGTTGCTGCCCTACACCTAGTCTTCCTGCTGTACCTGCACTTCACCTATCACAAAATCGTAGCAGGTAAATTCTAAGGGAAGACCACTTCCTTTGATGTTTTAAATTTCCACAGGTAGCCACTGAGCCAAGTATTTCCACTGCTCTTCCATACCTGATCTGATCTGGCAAGGGACTCGAACCTGGGCAAACCCATGATCACCCTCGGTTGAAAATTTGATTTGTCAACGCTGCGTTCAACCCCGGTTTCGATTCACTCTTATTTATTGCAAACACGAGCTCCTCGGGGCGAGTTCAACCTGGAGATGAGCACGAACAAATTTTTTAATCCGGCTTGAAAAATCTCAACCCTGGTCCACAGCACTTATTTTCTGTTCAGTGTCTCTACTGTCCAGTTTTATCCTCACCGAACCACCTTGATATGTGGTGCTAAACCTGGTTCTCCAAAGTACTTAACCCTTAGTACTTAACCTTAGTACTTAAAGTTTTCTCTTTGTCATCATTGAGGGGGCACTTGTCACCAAAACCTTCAACTATGTTTCTCTTTGTAGTTGTAGTATTCAATACACGTACACCATCTTGGATGTTGTTCAAAGCTTGGTCTCCATGGAAACAATAAACATGGAAAGTACTAAGCCTTTTGCAAGTTAAATTTGAATGAAATCTGATGCACCGAGTTCTTGAAATACGCATGAACATAACCATCTAAAGTCTCTATGAAAGACATTGTTGCTATACCCTCGTGATTCGAGGCAAGCTTTTCCTTAGTTACATAAGAGACGCCTTGCACCAATACACTATAATGTTTTCAATGGATAAGAAGGGCACAAAGGAACCAGTCCATTCCGGAGAAGGTGGTTGCTATGCAAAAGCTTACCCAGAATCATGAGGTATAGCAACAGTGTTTTTAGTCTGGGGAATTCAAATTGTTATGTTTAATGTGCTATCAGATAACTTGGTGTACCAGATGTTACTCAAATTGAACTTGCAAAAGGCTTATTCTTACAAGATCGGCATTGCTTTTTTCTGACTCAAAGACAGTTCCCCACTTGCTACCAACCTTCTGGATACATGTTAACTGTACATGTAGAGTTAATGGAGAAACTATCTTCCCAAACAAATCTATCGACAACACTTCGGTTTCGTTTTCTTGGCAGACGTTGCCCCCCTGCACCGCCCACAAGTGCCCCCTCACGACCTCGTGCCCAAAGCCCCCCAGAATGACGCGGTCCTAGCCCCGACCCAATTAGATCTGCCCGACCGTCGGGGCTCATCGGCAGAGAAGGTTCCGCTCGGTGGGAACAAAGCAGCGGATGCAGCCCCCAATGACATATTACCGCAGCCCAATGATGGTGCGATTGTCGCTGAAGATAACATGACGGGAAACAAGAAGCCGAAACCAGGATTAGTTATTCCAGTGCAAAAAGAAAAGGAAACAAATACTGGTGACAGTAAAAATACAAATAATTTCTAGCCGCAGACATACCGAATTCGTCTCTCTTCAGATGTTTATTTTGTTATTACTAGATATTATTTTTTAATAATATTATTGTGGTAGTTTTTGGATGATGGAAAATGGAGTTGATCATGGTATTTCATGTTAGGCCCCCCCAAAAGAGTTTTGTCTCTGGTCAGCGCGCGCGTCGATTTCCAGCATGCACGTCAATCTTTTTTTTCTCTGCGAGAGGTGCAACAGCGACCTGCACTGCCTCAACACTTTTGCGGGATGTTTTACTCAGAGTGATTGATCGATGTTGGACAGTGATAGCAGACTATGGATACGAAGTTTTTATTGTCAGCTTATCAACTGGTCTAGTCCCATGACTCAACGTGCGTTTGCAATGTACAATCCAGCCCTAGAGGAAAAAAGAAAAGGGCACATCGAGGCGTCAGTTCCGGGACATCAGTCTAACCAGAGACAAAACTGATTCTTGTTTTTCGGCCTTAGTGCTGGAGTTACTTTAAAACAAGGTAACCTTTGCTTTATTTCTCGTACATTATTTAGCTGTGCATTTTTTTCCTTGTGAAGACATATTTTACGCCCTCTTTTTCCTTCTATTATTTTATGTCTTTACTTTTTTAGATAATATAATTGTACACAGGCATGCAGCTTTTCCTCAGGGCAGCTGATTTCTTCGTTTTTTTACTTCACACGCATGCCATTGAAAATTGTGAAATACTGAAAAACACAGAATTGGAAATTCTTCAGTTTTTGTCCAAGTCCAAATTGCATGCCTGTGTACATCTTCACAATCAAAGACAAACCAGCAGATAGTGCTTTTTTGAAAGACAATGATTCCACGGTAGAAACCCACATGTGATGCCAGTCTTCCGAGGACATCACCTGGAATTTTTGTTTTGTTTTTTGGCCGTTGCTGTTGTCCGTATAGGTATATTCCCCAGCCCAAATTTTGGGTCTGTCATCTCAGACAACGTAGGTAAATTTGCCCAGGTTACCCAGAGTTCCTCACGTGTAGGTTATTAAAGACAACTTGATCAAAATCGGGCGTAGTCATTAAACCATTGCGGAGGTACACGTGTGGTTTCATTCGGCACCGGTAATTGGAAGCTATCGCTGCGCAGACCGGCAAAACGCTCGTGGACAAACGGCACGCGCGCGTTACGTGCCTTTTGACCGATAGGATGCTTTGACTAAAAAAATCCTTTAAAAATCGCCATTATTAAAGCTCCCTCCACGTGATGAGGATTCTTCTCCAAATGGCTGTTACCTCTGTTAAAATGCTCATTGCCGGAAAATGCGGATGCTCCCAAAGTTGGAATTGTTACTGTTGCTCACGACTGACTCCTGCTTGAAGAAAAGCCTCAGCAGAAGGGAAGAGACTTGACATTCAGACTGTACGTGTGGTCCATGGTTTGTAGAGTATTGGTGTAGTGTAGTTGGAAAGCTTGCATACTGGTGTTTGATACATTGATGCTTCCAGTATATGGACTCAGTTCTTAAGAATGTTTTTCTTTTCCATTTTTTCTTCCCGCGGTTGACTTGGGGAAACTAGACAAAATGCCAACTGGGCTGATGTTACCTGTACTGCAAAATTTGAATGATTTAGTGGAGGACGCCTATGGGAAAGCTTATCAGGAGGAAATGAACTTGGGTTAAATCACGTAAGGATATCAATCGAATTTGGGCGTGGTTGCATGTACTTGCTATAAAGAAACAACAAGCGAGGCTGCTCCTTGAAACTCACACTGTGTATTGTAATTCGACAACCAGACTTTGAAGCCATTACTGCGGTGGGCGCAACTCTCGTGGACAGGTGGTACGCGCGCGTTACATGCCTCTTCGACCAGTAGGGTGTCGTGATTTGCCAAATGCACGCGCGCGTTTAGCTGAAGAATGTGCGTGTGAGTGCGGTGCCACCGCAGTTACGGCGTCTAATCGGGTTAGTCTATACCATGTAAAAACGCTGCCAAGTATAAAGTCGATATGAAGAGGCTGGAGCTTGCAAGTGCAGCCTCTCTTTGAAGCAATGGGTCCTCTGCGGGCATCCAGTGGCGTGTTCGAATCGATTGGCTGCGGTTGGACACAACGCACGCGTCTGTTAAAGCAGCCCAGCTTGTTGCATTTCCCATGGCTAAGTGTCATTTCCAACCGCAGCCATTGAAGCAGTGTTCGGACGCGGCTCATCATCGCACCATTTCAAGTTTATGGGTTGGGAAATGTTTGTTTGGCTTTATATTATGGTTTCCTCGTGCATTGTATTTTCTTCATGCTTTTCTTGTGTAGTCATGAGGGTACATATTTTTGTGGGTGGCGTTCCTTTTTCCTTGCTTCATTCCACCTTTTCTTGTCCTAATGACCCCTTAGTTCAAATTGTAGTTGAAATCGTTCACAGGTCTGACCAGCTGAGCAGTGTACTTCATGTGAAAGTACCATGTTGCCGATTTCTCGATCTCAATGTAAAAAAAAATGCAGTCTTACGAAATTTTAGTGAAAAGCGGAATGAATAATGTCCTAAAAATGTAGAGAATTCCTGATTGGGCTTGCTAGACCTACTTCTGGAAGACTTATTGATGGGTTTACATCCAATTCAACATAGGCCTAAGTGGTTACAATACGGTTGTTTCACAAAAGTGCGCCTCCAAGAGTTTGCAACGCGTTGGCCAATCGCAGTGCAAGCAGTCTGTCGACCTAATGCGCGTTTGGAAAGGGTCGACAGATTTTGCGTTTGTGATTGGCTAACGCGTTGCAAACTCTTGGAGGCGCACTGTTGTGAATCGCCCGTGTTGTGGTTAACTGTGGTTAACCCGGGGACAGAAACTGAACAGAAACGGCGTGCAGTGGCTTGCACGCGGAGTGCTTGCCGTCTAGCCAGATTGGCCCGGTCCGATCATGCACGGGCAACCTTCGTTCTCAGATATACAGTTTCATGACAAAGGCAAAACCAAGGTCATACTTTGAATAGTGAGTCGCGTGTGCTTGAGTCAAGTCATTGTGTCTATAATTCTATGGGGTTTACAGGTGTCAGACTTCTTGTCAACGTTTCGGCAGGTGAAGGTTCATGTTAAAAACTGTTTTGCAGAGTTTGGTGGGCTTCTGATGAGACTGTCGCTCATTTGCTCAAATTTTCCAAGTTGCAAGCTTGGCATCAGCTTTCCTGTGTTATATAGGCCTACTGCACTGCTTCGATCAGTGCGATCTTGCGAGACATTACTAGCAACGGAGCATAGGCTTCGCGTGGGGCAAGCCCCTCCCCAGGGAAAAAAGTGAAAAATTGGGAAAAAAAGGGAAAGGGGGAGAATCGAAAGAATCGAAAATGAGGGATGAAAGGGGACGAAAATTACCAATTTGCTGAAAAACAATACCTAGAAGGTTTCCCCTTCTACTGTGAATGGTTGTTGTAGGAATGCTTTCCCCTTTGGAAAACCTCCCTGCCCGAACGAAAATGCTGGCTTGCCCCCGGAGAAAAGGTATGGCCACGCTCATGCACCACAGTTCATGTAATGTCATTATTATGGCACTTCTTTACTTTCAAAGCCTTGAATCGGGTGCATTCTAATGGGTGTATCTGCCGATTCTTATTTTGATTTCCATCTGCTCAGAGCTGCCCTATCTGCTTTTGAAGCACGTCTTTAGCTTTATCTGTACCTTTCCTGCAGCATGCACATTTTTAAATTTCTGTTCATAAAAATTCTGGACAGGGATGCATCAAACCAAGTGACGCTCTCTGTATTGTCCACCCGCAAGGGTTTCGATACATCAAGAGAAGAATTGCGTTTTATGACAAACATTTATGTATATCGGGCCCAGCGGGTGTTTAAGACATGCTATCCTACTTTAATCAAAGAGTTCATACGCCCCAACTTCGAAGTTTACAAGCTTGAAATCATTTTGACGAACGTCTGCGCTTCCCAGTGATGCATTGATTCACAGGGTCACGCATCATTGCGCACCGTTGCTTTTGAACAGCGACATTGGGTTGGCACACTTTAAGTGAATCAAAGTTGACAGTTGAAAGTTGTGTCTGGAAACATTCTCAATACAAACCAAAAGAGGAAGATGACTCTTTCACAGCTGCGATACGGCTTGCAAATGTGGGTGGCGTGCTTTCATGACACACTGTTATACAATTGAGCTAGATTAATAAACGGTTTAATTAAGAGTTAATTAACAGTTATGCCATCACTGTGAACCTAGGAAAATCACAATGGTTCAGTTAACAACGATGCTATCCTTACGTGAGAGGAAACACCCGGTATCCAGCAGTGGACTCGTTTTTTTTCTTGCTTTCCTAGTTAACTCACTGTAATTGCTTTGGTGCGCTTTTGTTTTTTCCAACTATACAGCTGTCGCTAGCATTCGATGAAATCCGAGGCCCAGTGTTCCAGGAACGAGGTATTTAACTTCGAATTATAAACTCTTTTATGTATGAGATACCTGGCTCTGACAAACTTTATGCCCTACGTGGACTGTATCAAAGGAACACCTTTTATAAAGATATTCATCGGGTTGGGAACAGAGCCGAAATGTCTCGACGACACTTTTAATATAATATGCCTTGTAAACTTACTCCATGGAAAATCCGAAGCCACAACTTTTTGATGGAGGCTAATCTCGTTTAGTTTATGCTAATACCGTCAAGAGATCTGACTCTACCAGAAGAAACAACCCTCGGTTAGTAAACACTGGCTTGAGCCCAACCAAAATGTTGAACGGATTGTAACATGCATTGTTTTGTATTCTTTTATTTTCTTGAGGAGTAATTTACAGGTAAACAAAAGACAAATCTGTTTGCAGCTACGTGTCAGTGAGAGCAACATCAATATCCTAAGTCATCAAAGAGAGCGTTAGAGACTTGCCTTTAAAACCCGTTGAAAGAAAGGTTACATGTATGTATTAGAAATAAATGCTTTACTAAGCACATGTTCATTTTGATCAATCCCCAGGCTTGTTCTTACTTATCTTTGCGACACATGAATAGCCCTTTTTCATTGGTTGATCAGTGCTGGTTTGTAGGAAACTAGGATCTTCTTATTCTGGCATTGGAAACTGCCAAAAAGCTGACTTGGTTAATTAAAAGGATTTCATGTATCCAGTTCAGGAACAGCATGGGTTATTCTTGCATCCGTTTCAGACAGGCGTTCTACAGTCGCGCCGAACCCAAAAGGACATTTTGAATTAAGTGGACAAAAGTTCGACGTCTGAAACAATTAGGAGCGACCAGACCTGCTAGCAGGCGAAAGATCGACACCTGAAGGTGCTCGGTACGTCACCAGAGCGACTTGGTTTCACACGTCGCTCTTTTCAAGGGTCAAACCCAATGCAAATGTACGTATTACGTTTGCCTGCCGGAAACAATAGTTGATCGGGTCGACCTGAGTCTCTCTTAATTGTCTCTCTTTGGTTAGGCGCGACTCTAAAACGCTTGATACGGGTATTATACTGTTGTAGTGAAGGGAAGCCGCATGTGGCGACAGATTCCCAATTCCAAAGATTTTTTTCCACATTCGGAGAGTTGTTGCAAAATTGCACCAGCCATTATCTGATTTATATGACCCCACACGAAAACGTTTCGACTTCAATGCGCCATCATTGATCACATTAGTTTTGGAGCAAACGGTTCAATGTCGTTGGTCTCCAACACTGATTTTCAGATGGTATTGTGATATTAGAGTGGAGACCCATAAATCTCGTGGATATTGAATGTTCACGCCCTCAAATGAACTCTTTTTGCAGTTCTTTTCGAAACCTAGAACGTTCTTTACGTCCCACTCATGGCTGTACTTTGAATAGGCACAGAAGTGAAGTCGAAAGCCCAGTTTTTCTCTCAGATGCGCGGTGCGCCTTGCTTTACCCTGCCATCCGTCATCTTTACTTATAAATGTTGTTTCTATTGCATTGTTGCCGTACTTTGAGATAAAAAAGCTCGAGCATGTTTCGAAGCGACCGATATAAACGTGTACAGTAAAAACGCGAAAATACAGTGTAACTAATGTAAAGTAAGATATGTATAGTATTTAAAATAAACTTCTCTTAAGTAAAAGAATCTTAAAACTACACGGTTAATAATGCTGATCTGTAAACAAGTAGCCACTTTTTCGAGTTGCAAAGGCTCATTGATTGGTAAATAAATGCATGCGATGAGGACGAAAATAAACATGGGTGCTTCAGTTCTGCATTTAATTCGATCATTGGATGTGTCCGTTACAAATTCCGATCGAACCACTGTATTTACTCCGCTCTCTGAGATATGTTAACCATTAATGAACCCTAACCCTCCTCAATCCTTCACCTGTTGGAGGACTGAGGAGTGTTAGGGTTAACCATCGACTTTTACCATACATTTAGACACGTAGCCAGCACTAATAATTGTTGTCCACGGGTTCTGGTGGGGTTGGATCAGTGGGATAGGAAAATGGCTTTTACGAGATGGAGAAATTCCTAGGAGAACAGTCGACCGGCTGGAACTCGCACGATCCGGTGTAATAGACTGCAAAGCTCTAAACTCGGCATAGTTGCCAGCCAAGCTGTTACAAGGCGCGAGAGGAACCGCTGTTCCAGCCTGATTGTAACGGATTGGTCATCGGAACCAATCCACCCTCCGATTTTCTGCACAGCATCAAACATGGCTCTCGTAGTACGAGTTCCTGTACTTCTTCCTCGTCTCGTTCATGCCGCTGTGCTGAGACAGTGTGGGTGCATTGTGTATACTGATGGCGCCCTCCCTATACGGCATATCGGGATTGTCGTAGGCAAACGGTGAAGGATTAGCCGGTCTGGGTAAAACGGACACTTGGACACGGGAGGAGAGCTGTGGTGGCTGACTGCTCGCTGGAGTTGTCGCTGCTAACGGGGAGAAAGTCTGAAGAACCAGCGGTCTGCTGTGATTGGCTGTGTAGTCGGCCGCATGAGCCGTTCCTCCACTGTGATTGGCGGGGCTACTGTTCACAGAGATGACCTTCTCACGCCAGACGATTGGGTTGGTTGGCGCCGCGGCTACCTCGCGCCGATTTGGCGCGTCTGCTTGCGCGCGTCCCCAGTTGCCGACGCGGTCAGTCATTGGGCCTTCCTCGGCACCGACGCGCGTCGACCTGTTGAAGGTGGAGTCGGCGAGGTTTTGCTGTCGCGCTTCCCTGACCCTGGCGGACAAGAATTCCAGCGAGTTGTCCTGGCGACTGGACGACGTCGTGAAGCCCGCTTCGAACTCCGTGGCTCTCAGCGTCCCGTGACTGTCTTCGTGGTCGTCCGCGGCTGCCTCCGCTCGCTCGCGAAGCTTGTCCACAACGGACGGCAGGATCCTCTTAAGCTGTCTGACCTCGCCTTTGGATCGGTCGACAAGGAACCACAGCAACAGACAGAGCAACACCAGCATCAGCGCAGCGATGCCCATGCAAGCGTAGATTAGACTCTCCTGGTGGGCATTGTAGCCCGGGTCTAGTTCCGGCGGCATCTGGGCTCGGCTGTTCTGCGCGGTCGCCACGGATGCCGGAGACGCCACCACACAGCAAAACAGCAGGGTTGCAAGCCAGGAATTGGCATGCTGTTCTTTGACAAGTAACATAGTTCTCACGATCTTATACAACTTCGAAGTGTAAAGAGGTCCAGTTACCTGCCTCAAATAAGTGGATAGTCCCCGATCGTCGGCTTGCCTTCGTGGGCAGGTTATCAGCTAGTGACTATCATAACTTGATCTGAAATCGTACTCTTGTTATTCAGTTTGTCCCATCAACAGAGCGGTCTCCCCGAAACACGTTCCTGTTGTTTGACAAAGCACAGAGAGAGATTGAGAAAAAAATATCAGCAATAGTGTATTGAGTGTGCAATGCCTATTCACTCCCACACAGTGTAATGAGGTAAAACGTCAACCACAAATGGGCTGGAATATTCAGAGCTCACTAATTCTAATCCTAGATCCTAACCAACCGATTGACGCGCTAACTCAGGGAAAATGGCGTTTTAAATAGATATTTCAAATGAGAAAAATTCCTATTTGGAGAAAATGCAGTGCTTGTGGTACGAGGTCTCTGTTACAGCGAGGTACGTGTACTTTGTAAAGGCCTAACGACCTTGTTAGAAAAGTGTTCAACTTTAATCGCCAAAGAAATTGAAGATAAGGTGTCGAAGCCCCCCGTTTTCCGACAGAACAGACCAATTCTGAAAACATGTTAATTTGGTCATCGTTATACTCGATACAAAAATAGTCCCCACATCATTGAAGACGCCGCTTTTTTGAACTTATTCGGTAAAGCGAATTAAACCTAAAAGGCTCTTTTTTTGGTTGGAGCTTACTTCAGCGCATCGAACTTTAAAGTGAACTTTTTACACTTGGGCGACGCGTTGACTGTAAGGCTACAAGGTCGCACAGACAAGCGTGGGAAAGAAGTTGGTCGACTCGGCTTCCCTCGCAAAGTGTATCCAAGTGTGACAGCATTTTATTCACAGTATCACGCCTACTGTGAAACTAATGTGCACCGAATGTGTAATATTTCGTGTCGCCTACGAAAGATGACGGATATTGGATTCTGTCTGCATGCATGAAATACCTCGATCTTGACAGTCAAGGGCGGCTGGGGGGCGCCCCCTCCCCAAAAAGGCAAACAAGAAGGCATTTGGGGGGGCTGTTTCATTTGGAAAACGTGTTAAACGCTCCCAAAATGTTGCTGAAAAGGGTTGTAAAAGTCATATGAAAAAAAATTATGTTTAGCCCCTGCAACCCCCCCCCAAAAAAGGTTCTTGATCCGCGTTTGTTGAGCCCACCCCGGCCGCCTATAGCTGGAAGGGTGCTTGCAATATTTTTAGCTTCCAGTTCAAATAAATATGTCAACCAGCCGTATTCATGGCCCACTTTAAAAGGGGGCATTCGTGGTTCCACACTTTCGTTTACTCGATATGCAGCTTCAACTCGACATGACCATGAATCTTTGGCGGAGCGTTGCTCGCGTAATGTGACACCAATTACGTCGAGTTCCCCGTCCTTTTGCCCCTAATTTTCGTGGTAGGTCCCAACCGGAGCAGACATTACTTCAACTGAAGCTGGGCGAGTCGTTGACAAGCCCGTACAAACATCCGTGATTTATGTTCGTGCACCAGGCTGCAAATTATTTTCGGAAAAATGAATTGACACCACTGTCTGTCTTATCCAGAACACATAATGTTTGCTGAAAAAGCCACACACGGGGGCACATCATATCAATGTATATATGATTACTGGCAAAAGCAGATGCATCTAGGAGGATTCAATCAAACTTGCTAGTGCTTTCGCTGGAGTGAAGCTTGCAAGTTTTCCCCCATTAACTTAATGGGCACTTCCACCAAAATCTAAATCCCCCGTAGTTGGCTGATAACAATTGGCGTTCAATACCATGTCCATTGTTAAGTCGGGGTTGAATACTGCATGTATATGTCCACAGCGTCATGGGTGATACTTAAGACACTTACCAATTTTTCCCACTGCTGGCCCCTTCCGAGAGAACTAGAAGTCCTCCGTGAACGAAAAAAACTCACATGTTGTATCAAGAAGTGTATTACCATGGAAGTAGGAAAAGATTTAGTAACAGCGGTTGATGTCATATCTTGCTGTATGGTTGTATTGCGTTAACCACGTTCCTTCCTAACATTCACCGGTTTGAACATCACACATGGCCGTCGAACACTTATTTAGAAGAGCACTTTTTACTTAAAATTAGTGGTCTTACAACGGGGAGGAAATGAAGTCAGTTTCCGGAAGACACTCGCAACCACCTGTAATACTGTAATGCATCTGTACAGTGTACATGTACAATACACCACACCGTGATGTGTTGGGCTTGGCGCGTGTTACGTGGGTCGGGCCGCACCATGTACGTGAGTACGAGAGTAGATTACCATGAGCCCGTCGGATCACAGTGAAACCCTTTGTCAAAAAATATGGCCTAGCGGCTGAATGCCTCACGGAACGGCCTTGACGGTAATGGATCTGTGGTTAGACAGGAGGGGAGTATGGTGACCCCGGCGACCTGACACAGTGGCATGTTCACTGAGCCACGTACGAAGAAATAAATGGTTTAGCTAGCTCTGCATAATGATATTACCTTTTCTCTTAAAAGTTTCCACACAATCAACTTTTATTCATTTGTGGGTTCCTTTCTAGTCATATTTTTGCTTATTTTAATGGTGTGGAGTTTATTGGTCGTTTAATTCGAACTATCAGCCATTAACTACAGACTTCCTTCGCTACGCCACAAGCGAACGTAGCAAAATGTACCGGCTAGCTTTAGTCCCATCTCCTGATTTAACACAGCAAGCTTGCAAATTTTGATGTGGTCGGCATAACTTATGTAATCTCTTGAGATAATGCAGCTTCAAGTGCCAGTATAGCCTGCAACCTCACTGACACTCGATCCAATAACAGTGAGCTGCTTTGGGTCATCTTGTAGCGCCCTCTTTTGGCAGAGGCACATCTTAATTAGTAGACGGAGATTTCAGTAAAGTCCTGCGGAGCTCAGTGGAGTAGGTATGATTAGTAGACGGAGATTTCAGTAAAGTCCTGCGGAGCTCAGTGGATTAGGTATGATCTGCAATAAGTTGCCTTTGACTCGTGATCGCCTGTTTTGACAATTCACCAGAAATTTCAACAATAGGTTCTGTAACGGAATGTTGAAAATGGCTGCTGCAAAGACCAACGGTCATGTTTTCGACTGAACGATGTATTTGTAAATTAGCAATTCATGTAGACTGTCATAAATCTTGGGACTGACTCGATCCGGATTTCGTATGACGATGACACACATCGAGGTCACCATGGAACTTTTCTAGATCACTCGGACTTTGGTACATCATAATAGTCAGATTAGCTCTTCATAATAATAAAAAAAGGAAAAATATCCGTTTCCCTTGTTAGAGATATTATTTTTGAGTCGTATGACCAGGAGAGGTGTACTTCGACAGCGTCTAAGGTCAATTCTGACCAAAAATGCTCGAGGGCTTTTCAGGTTACATAAGGGCCTAGGCTGAGCTACAATTAATGCAAAATCGGGTACCATTCACTTGCGACAGCCCGGTGACCGTTGCTTTCTTTACTTTGGATACGTACAGATGACTGATATTTTTATGACCTAAAGATATAAATTAAAAAGAAAATCGCCCCATATCTGACATTGGAGTAGAAGATTTGTTCCAAGTTTTGGTATTGTCAAAAACTGGAATTCTTTCACATGATTACACCGTTGGGTCAGCTGCTGCGCTCGGAATTAGAACAGATTCTGAGTTGATGACTCGCGATCTGAGCGTGACTCGAACACAGCAGGTGTACTGGGCAGAAAGCTCCACATTTGGCGTTCTTTTCTGTGCGTCTTGCCGAGTCCATAGTGTTTCAGATCTTGAAACCGAACTCCCAGAACAGCGACAGTAGACTTGGTTTGATCCTCGTTATTCTATTGCAAAAAGATTAATGCTTTGGTGACACACAGCCCACCTTGCCATTGTTAATTAAGCCAACTAGAAATGAGATTTTTGTCTTGCCGGCTTCAGCACATCTTTCATGAAGACATCGCCTCACCCATAAATGGTGCTTTATCCGAACCACTTGACGCCGGTTGACGCACAAGCACACATCATTTTCCTTGTTTGTTCCACGGATGACTTGTGCACTCGTTTAAGATTTTTTTTTCATTTCCGCTGTTGACGTATTAACCCGTCGAGCCTTGTTGGGTCAAAGCATAATTGCAAGATCGAAGAATTTGCTGTAAAAACACCCTGCCCCCAGCAGCTTTTTCGGGAGAAAATCCGACGTTAAGTGCAATTTGATTATAGATGTTAATGTGTAATTCTTGTACAACATCACAGACAAAGGTAAATACCTTAAAGTCTCCCATTGACTTCAAACCGAAACGTTTCTTCGTTTTCATCACACAAGTATAGCGCCGACAAACAATGAGCCAAGATATCAGCACACACTTTTATTTGTACTGAATTTCCTGATTTGAAAAAAAATAATCAAAATGCTCTCGTAATGTCGACAATCGACAAGCCAAAAAAAGATGTTCAGTTGACTTTTGCCCACTGAATGCAGATAGCCTACCGTCCATGCGTGTTTCTATGGGTGCAGCGTGGGGTCAATACGGGCAATTCGCAATACAGCGCGCCACCAAGGGTTTGCCGCAGATGGGCCACTTTTTAAGTTTACGGTCGACACTCTTCCGCGATTGTGCGTACTTTGTAGGGTGTAGTTATTGTAGCGTTCCATGCATGCACTACACAAAACCATAATTTTGACTACCTAAAAACCCATTGGCAATAAGCAATTTCGATTTTTCAACAGAGATAAATAAACAAATATTCGGGAAAAGATCAAGTTTTCCGCGCATAGTACAATTACCGTAGCGAATGAAACTTTGTCGACTATTTATCCCATAATGCACTGTAAAAAGGCCTCTCCATGACCCCCTCTGGAGGCGCTCTGTATACAGGAAATCGCCCGTATTACAGTTAAATTGATTTCGTTGTCTGGCCATGACTTGAACAGGCCCACTTGGTAGAAAAACTTCTTTCAACACTTTTCAACAATTTTATTTGCGTCTCCTGAATGCATCTAGCATTTATATATTTGCATAATTAGCTCCCTACAAGTTCCACATTCATCCAACCAGCGCTTTTAATTTTTTTAAACGCTTATTTGCACACAGAAATATAGTGTATACCTTCAACAATATACACAGGTAACCTTGTCCTAGTTCAGTAATAGGTCTACGAAAAATATGATTTTGTTTATTTTCCCAGCTTCCACCCTCATGCCTGAAAACTTCATAGACATCATCCCTCCCACTGAAACTACCATCCAGAATAAAAAATAATAAGACGAATGCGTGAACATGCCGCCTCTCAATGGTAATGCAATCGATCGATATTTCCAAACGGCAAGATCTCTCGGGAACAGAGCGCGCGAGAGTTAGCATATGAGCGGGCTGCATGATGATTGGACTAGATTATCGCGCGCGTGTGCTGTTCAGTTTGGGCGTGCGCAGTTGGAATACCAAACTGGCATATCGCGGTAGGCTTACGACTGCCACATGTTACCTTAATGATTAAGAAGTGAAACCTGTGTTGACGTTAATTAGGCCCATTAATCACGCAAGCCCGGGGAAATAACAGTTTCCCCGACAAATACACAACTTAACAAAATACAAAGCATGAAAAACGTTCCCGACAGCTGGTGATCATGGGCTGTATTTTCGTTATCTACATTATTATTGAACAAACTGGGATTAAATATGCAAATTTTGTTTGCGTCATCGACATGCCACTTTGGACTGTACCTGCACTTGTTTGTTGGCAGTTTCTTCCCGCCATTTGGAGCCTTTCCCACGTGGACGGCCAAGCAACATGGGGAGGGAGATATAACTTCGAAGTGATGGAACCAAAAAGTTTATTCTATCACGCAGAAATGACGTCAAACTTTAAAATCCCCGTTCTGGAATGATTAACGTCAAGCTTAACCAATAGTTATATTCATTTACTTAAGGATCGATTTCCTGAACACAAGCAAGAAGTGAAAGTAGTCTGAAGTAGGCCTAGTTCGAATAAATACATGGTAATACCTTTTTTCAAGCCACATAAGAGGTAGATCTCACCATGCAAGCAACACGCTTTGTTTTCGTTCTGTTTGGAACCTTCCTGACTGGTAAGTTGATAATGTATTACCACAATGTATAGGTTACTTGGCTACAGTGTGGTTGTATACGTCGATGTAACGGCAAAACCCGTGATTTCAAATTCTTCCATGTTCAAAGGGAGATTGGCTGAGCACGGAGTAGAATGTACAGTTGTGTGCAAGAGCCAAGATTACGCTGAGCACAAGTTGTCGAGAAGTACCAAACCATCATGGCCAGACATGACATGCATAGCCTATCTGCCTACATGTACATGATCCAAATGGGAGGGGGCAACTTAATCTCCGGTGGATTTTTTGTTTTGTTTTGACAAGTAATACTGAAAGGGAAAGAAAGTAATTGGTATATTTATTTATCAAATATAAGCACCCAAACCCTACGATTTTTTCTCCCTCAACATCATGTTGAATGAGCCCGAAGCCGCATTCGCTTTTGACTTCGCCCCCCACCGACACCAAAGCTGGATACGCTGCTGGCTAGACTTTACTCAGAACCGCTCCCTAGTTTGTGCCGTAGGGCTCTATGTACATTATAAGTTTATGTAATCATGTTCCAGCAGAACATACAATTTTGGTACTCGACTAGAGCACTTGATGCACGGCAGAAAGACTGCATTCAAGGCAATGGTTAACATTCCTGTTTCACAAATGGAGACAATTCGGTATGCACGCCAACGGTCCTCTCTCTCCCCTGCTTTGGAAACTAGGCCTACCAACATAAATTTTGTCTATTTTAGCGGTTTAAGGGACTCATCAAAATAAGTGAAGCTAAACATAAAAATTTAAAGATAATTATACAAGAAAAAGCTCACAATCCAATTAGAAAAAATAACCTATCGGTCAAGCTGCGACATTCTGTTCGTTTTTCAGGATTATGTGCGTCCCATCCTGAAGATGAGGGAAACCTTATGCAAAGTAAGTCAGTTTCGTTAATCTCATCGGGACAAACGCAGCTAGCATCGGGCTTCGTAAAACGATTGACCATAACTTGCTTGCGTCAAAATGATGATGGAATCATAAAGATAGCAACGAACATATTGAAAACTTCCTTTTATAGGAAAGGAAGGGAGGTTTCAAACCCAATTACAGATTACAGAAATTTGGTGTCCCTGAACGGCTGACAGTCGTTACGTATTGGACAAAACGTTCAAAATTAAAAGATTTTTAAAAAGTTCCCACATCCCTAAATGGCCCGGAGTGGGACACATCAGTAACTTAGAGTTTATTTTCCGTAAGCTAGAATAACTAATATAGGCCCTAACGAAACATTCTACACTCTCTGATCCGAAACTTAACACGTAAGACACGAGCAAAGATACAAAACCAGAGCTCGGCAAGCGTTGTGCGTTGTTTTGAGTCAGTAAACTTTTGAGGCAACATTTGACAATCCGCAATAAGCCATTTGCGAGTTACATTTGAATAAAATCTGGTACACTGAGTTATCTGATTGCACATAAACATAACAATTTGAACTCCCCAGACTAAAGACACTGTTGCTATACGTCGTGATTCGGGGCAAGCTTTTGATTAGCGACCACCATCTCTAGAATGGACTGGTTCCTTTGTGCCCTTCTTTTCCACTGAGAAAAGTGTGTTGTTGCAAGGCGTCTCTCATGTAACTAAGCAAAAGCTTAATTGACCCAAATCACGTGGTGTAGCGACAGTGGCATTAGTGTGGAGAATTCCCATTTTTATGTTCACATGAATTTAACTTAACTCAATGTACCAGATTTTATTCAAATTTTACTCGCAAAAGGCTTATTTGAAACCAAAGATTAACCCTGACAGTCCTCAATCCTTCACCTGTTGGAGGACCTAGGACTGTTAGGGTTAAGTAAAGGAGTTGTTTATGGACCTGGTGTTTTCCCGTGTGTTCTCTTTATTCGTGCTACCATACTTGGGCCGGCAGTAACAGCAAAGGCGCAATAAACCGTACTTGTGGAATGGGAGGCAAGTTTCCTCTCCGTACTTTTCTAGATTTTTGGTTTTGTATTGAATGAATTTCTATCTTCTCTTCAAGTCTGGAGTCTCAATGCATTCAAGAGGAATATTTTCACTTGGGTGTGCTTGAAAGTGGAGAACCCCACAAATAGCACTATAATGAGCTTGAAGTAAAAATAACCCTAGTTTTTAAGAGGCGTCAAATGAAGTGTAACAAATTATACACAAGTCAACCACATTATTGCATTGTTCTGAACTTAAAGCTTTCAGAGAAAGGTACTTGTCTCTAGTAGTAAGACTGCGTCCAAATCACTTGGCTGTGGCTTAAAAACTACACACCAGCCTATGGTTGTGGCCCTAGCCAGGTCACATAAACTAGTGTGCAATTTCAAGCCGCAGCCAAGTGATTCGGACGCGGCCTAAGATAAACGAAAATTGCGGGGTTGGTCTTTGTTGACGTTATCGAGGCCTGGAATATACTTGTTTGTCCTGGGCAGGTAAGGGCACCACTTGTGGATTTGGCCAAATGAAGTGTTTCTTCAGCGACGAATGCTTCGCTATTGATGGTCTGTGCGACGGCAAGGTGGACTGTGTCAATGGTGACGACGAAGATCCGATCGGAACCTGTGGTAAGAAAGTAGAAGACACATGACCACAGTCTTAATCACATGACACCAACGGGGCTCTTACGAAAACAACCAGCAAAGTTCCAAGGTTGAGCATCTACGTTTACTCCTAAATTAACCTGAAGAAAATGTGCATGATTCGTCGATTGCTCGTTGAAGGCTTCGATTTTAAATTGAATGCACTGAGAGCAAACTCCATGTAAACAAGAGCTGCTAGGACTATAGAGAGCTACGTCAAAGCTTAGAGTGATAGGGGATACGAAGAGACGGTGGGCGTTTCTGTACTGACTGTAGTTGGGGAATGAGGGGAGGAGGGTGCAAATCGATAACTCATAACTCTGTCAAAAATAACAGATTTAGATGCTTGATGTCTCAGTTTTAGTGATGGAAAGGCGTATCTTTTAAACCATACATCTAGCACCCTGTTAGCGGTACGTTGTTTCCAATGTTTTGACACACTTTGGAGTAACAGGCAGCAGATCAATACCCCGCATGAAAAGCTCAATCAAAATGTACAATCTCTGTTTCAATGTAATCAGACCAGGAAGAAAGGACCATTGATAAAGACCTTTTTCTGTGATGTCACAATCGTGCTGGACCGCGCTTACTCAAGATAAATTAGTCAATAAGGCAGCGTTTACACGTGCGCTTGCACGTGGTTGAAGCTGCCCGTAGGAATATACGAGATCTAAGTGGCCACCGCGGTCCACACGTTGTGGTATTGTTTACCATTAGCGCAATCCAATCACGTGGGTGAAAAAGGTCTGTACAGGTGAAGATAGAATGTATTCTTAACCTGGTGTTTGCACTATTTGATGCAGGCGCTCTAGGCCCCATCTGGCCAGTCCTGTGCCCTGTTCCAGGCCAGTGGAAGTGCATATTCAGCCACGAGTGCCTTGACTATTCCAAAGTGTGCGACGGGAAAAAAGACTGCGCCCGCGGGGATGATGAGTTATATTACGGATGTGGTAAGAACGTAGGGAGCGAGTATTATTACTGTAATTCTTTTTTGCTAGTTCGTGAAACCGAAGGTGTTGATAACGTGGTTTCCACAGATGGAAACCCACTGGCGGATGAGTGTTAGTTTGTGGTGCAGATGACGGGATAGGCACCATTTGTGTTGTAGGTTTTACCTTGTTGAGATGCTGGATCTGCATACTGTAGGCCTATTGCACCCATCAAATTAATCGGAGCACACCCTACAACTGACCCGATGAACTGAATATTACCACAAAGAGGGTGTACAACATAATTGAATGCTTTGACGAAATAGAGGGCATAGCAATAAACAGACAGTTAAAAAGGACGCTGGAAAGGAAGACTGTGGGATTTCATGGCGACTAATTATGACTTCAACTTCTGTGTTATCTCTTTTCAAAGTGAACAACAGTAGACAAGGGGCTACGAGTCATCTTAAAAGTTGCAACAAAATTTGATTTCTGTTCTGATGGAATCGATTGTCCAAACAGATTACAGAAAGAGAGCCCCGGATCAGATGCCAGGGGAATTCGTGCTTAAGGTCCCTGACGGGGAGAGAGAGCCCTAGGCAAGTAATGCTGCTCCCCGGTAAGAGATTTTGACCACGGTAATTATGCCGTGGTATAGCAAAAACTTACAACGAAGCAATAAATGTGCAGAGTTTATACAATGTACTCGTGTAACTGGTTTGCTTGATTAACAGCTTCACCTCAGACACAAGTTAAAACGTTGTTTCATGTACTAGCAGCAGCATAATCCTTTTTTTTGGGGGGGGGAGCGTTAATGTACATGTACAATCAGCCAGTTCGGTATTCCAAAAGTGTATGCCCAGTACCAGGCTAATCGACAACAGCAACGCGGGCGTGCGATAGTCTGGCCTACTAGAAGCCATATGCCCTGACTCACACGCAAGCTTTGTTCCTGGAAGACGTTGGATGTTTGAACTTTCGAAGTGGCTCCATTCAGATAGGAAAGTGCAGAAAGTTGAGTCTACGGGAAAAAAAACTGTGCAGGGATACTTCCATCACTGCACATTGCGAGTAATAATGTTCAGAAAGTGATACGTAGACTGCTGAAAATTATTGCCTTGTCGGTGATGCTTAAAGTGATTGGTGTATCCACATTGGCGTATAACTGGGATGAAACTTCCATATAATTGCCCGAGCGCGACCAAGAGAGGGCGCAATTTTCCAAGCAACAGAGATTCCTTCGGTGGGAATTGCATCTGGCTGGTTGTGAAACGACTTGGGGTGGGGGGGGGGGGTGTGATAAAAGCCGATGAAATAAATGCGGTTTGTTTTAGGTCTTGTACAGGTGATATCTCAGATGGCGATTGGGGAACCCAAGGGGCATTGGACCTGCCCCTCTCTGTAGTTACCCGCTGCGTATCCCTACTTACATTACTTCATATTTGTTTCCGCAGGTCTGTGACGAACAGAGGCAATCTGCAGACAGCGGATGGAAAAGGGGCAAAATCCTCATGACCGAAGCTTATTCGTAAAATTATTTAGTTCAAACTAGCGTTGCTTTCCTAAAACAAAGCGTTAGCCGTTTTCTGCATAGCATGGATTTTAAGATCCTTGATTTAAACAAATGCTTCTTTCTGAAAGGGCAAGTAGTGGATCGAATAATTATTTCGACTTACTTACTTATTTTTGAAATTAAATAGCTTCAAATCATTTAAAAAGTCACATCTTGAAGGGATGTTCTTGTTATTTTTAAACGAACAAAGTGTAATCTGTACGAGAAGGGGATCGAGCTCTCAAATGAAAGGTTACCCAAGTGCTATCTGATGAGACGACAGCAGCTCCATTTTTTATATAGAGATCTATGTGGTTTTATCAGCGCATCCTACGGACGTCGCTAGACCATTTTGAATGGGGGGCCACGTGAAATTTGCCAACGGACCGTCACGCAAAACGAGTGGCCTGTATCCCTCTTCCTTTCACCTCCGTTTTTTATTTTGTCGACCGACAATGATTTCGCCGACAAAACTAGTCAATGGGGGGGGGGGTTGACATCCCCGACACCCCCCTCTAACGACGCCCCTGACGCAGTCCATAGAATATATATTTAAAGGACTAGATTGACTCATGAACGCGCAAAAATGAACGTGAAGTATACAGCTAAATATATCTTTCCTCTGGCACGTGACCTAGCTCAACGTGCGCGAAGCACGCAGAGCGCGCTGCCCACACAAGTTGGAGTGCTAGCAACATTGTTCCTCTATAGGTAAGACCCCCGCTTAACCACGCACAACCCTCGCAGCCATTCGCCAATCCATGACCGCCATTTGTTCCCGAAAGACCTTACATTTTTGAAAGTACCGACTTGGCTCATCGTATCAATACCATTTTCATGCATTGGTGATGGTTTTTACACAGCCAACCATACCGGTTTCAAATTACTTTGGCAAAGAAATGCCACAAATCATAACAAGGTGCGACTTGATTTTCTGATATGTAATAATGTATTCGTTTGGGTGTTTCACCGATCATTTGCGGTTTTTCTTCGAATAGATTCAAATAAAGTAGTTGCAGTCAAAGGCAAGCTAACACGATAGTCATTCTTTCAACCTAGTTGGCGTCTTTAAGAATACCATCGAATAACAAATATAGGCCCATTGTTTCTGAAAAAGGTTCTCTGGCGTCCATAATGAGAGTTATCGACCAATCGTTTTGATAATATCAAGAGAGCACTGTTACACTTTTTTGTTTGTTGTATAGTTATACAATGATTGTTACCCATAATTCCTAAGACTGCGACCTACGTGTACGTAGAAATAGTTCCCCGTTTGCTCAGAGTGACCTGCGTTGTCAATTAATGTCCTGACTTTTAAACTTGAGATAAATAACCTAATATACCTCCGAATGAGCCCCTGCCCACTACTCATGCTTGGCCATTTTGCTGCTATCATGATTTGGTTTGTCCCTCCATGGCATGGCAATAGCAAGGCCCACACACTACAGTGATTTAAAATTTTGCTGGAAACGGGGGGGGGGTGACTGGCCCAGCCATGGATTTTTGAAAAGCAGGGTGAGGGGGGGGTTGAAACCATGTGACACTGAGGGTCATGTTCTTGATACAGATGCATATCAGTAATACGTCCTACACTCCTGCAGGACCTCACATCAAAACGGCGTTTCGATTCGGTTGGGTTTGGCTCGATTCTCTGTTTGGTCCTCTTGGGCACGGTTTGGTTCTTGGTTCGGTTCTCTTCGATTCGGCTTGGCTCGGTTTTAAGGTTCGTTCGGTTCGGTTCTCCATGTTGGTTCAGTTTTTGACAGGTCTTAGAGCTTAGAGTTTGCAGGATTGTTACATTTTATAATTATGGATGCATGGATTAATGTAGCAACCTTGGTGGTGTAACTCAAGCTATGAATTTCACATGTGTCTACAAAAGTGAACGAGGTTTACGTCAGAGAATACTACTTCGAATGTTGTGTGTGAAGTCAATCGACTTGCGATAAGATGTCTCCCTGCTTCTGAGCTCATGAAGTAGAGCTATGCTCAGACAGAAACGATCATGACTCGGCGGGTTTGATGAACCAAAGTGTGGCCAAAGATGGCTGGGGTACGGTGCAACGACGTATTTTAATGCCTTTTTTCGACTTCAACCACAAACTGGGTCCGAATCCAGTGTAGTGAGTGGCAAATATCGTGAGATTTGGCTCAACTTTTCGTCGATTCGTCCCCGTCTCCACCTAGGGCATTCCTTTCAATGAAGCTGGACACTTGGCAACGTAAACATGAAGCCCTCTCCTTATATATATATAGTTCTGATTATCAATCATGTTTTAATTCTGGTTCCAAATATGGTTTTAGTGAATGCTGTTGGTGGTGTTGTTAATGTTCTGTATTTCTCTACACTTTCCTCTCTATTTTCTTTCAAATCAAGAATTTGGCTGCCGTGCGATCGAGGTCAACGCCTTCGAAAGAACTGGAATTAATTACCACCACCACCGGCGATGTGCCGCATTTCCTCCAGGGAGACCGAGACGTGTACTGCTGGGCCATCGAGGTGCCGGACGGTCGGGGCGTTCAGGCCGACTTCCAGTATGCCGAGAACTCTCCCGGTGAAATACGGCTGAGGATCGTCAACTTGGCTTCTGAATTTCAGGAGACTTTAGCAGCCGGTACCCTGAGGCCCGTCTCGATGCTGGCTCCGTTCCAGCGAGTGGGGATGGCCGTTTTCGTTCCCCTTTATTCCAACGCGTCGTTCAGCAGTCAACTAGAAACAACCGACTTGACAGTCCAACGTGGGTTTAAAAAATATCCTGGTTTATAGTACGTATATAAAGCTTCCCACTTGTTCAAACGAAACGCCAACATACTGGAAATATGTGGAGGTGCATCTAAAGTGAAAGATTTAATTTACATCCTTGTTTCATCGAGAGATATCAGTAAGACAAGATTACCTAATTTATCTTGTCAGTTCACCTTACTATCCACCAAAGGACTACAAAAATATGTAGTATTATACATATATACATACAAAAAATGTAGTGAAATGCTGCCACTTTAGACATTCAGCTAGCCTTGTGAGCTTGTTGACTTGTGCAGGGTATGTATAATTGTTATCAAATCGCACTGTTCTGGTCTTATTGAGAAATAAAACCATATGTACTAGATTCCTATTTAAACTGAACAGACGTGGTTGCAAGTGTATTGCGAAAATGTGATGTTTGGTCTACATGTCAAAGGCAAATGTGAACGGACAGATAAAGATTATAGGCCTAATCCGTATAGTTGCCGTAACTGCAGTATAATTGGCACTGCACTCACACGTGCGTTTCAAAGCTTTACGCGCGCGCAGATTTTGGTAAATCACGACACCCTATTGGTTAAAGAAGCAGGTAGCGCGCGCGTACCACCTGTCCACAAGTGTTGTGCCACCGCAATAATGGCTTCTAATACTGGTTGCCAAGATATAGCCTCCCTGTATTATTTTCAACTGGATAGAAATCGGTGGAAAAAACAAGAAACCAACTGCACAGAGGATGAACATAACACCCGTATAGTGACCTTATTTGAGTTTATTGTTGACCCGCATATCAACGAACTCAAGGGTAATAACTAAAGCTTCATTTTGATGAACGAAATCGCTTTTAGTCGATGTTAAAGTTGAGATACCATTGAGTTAATTACAAATGACACTTTGGTAAATATTTAAATTCAAACAGACAACACCACAAAGAACTACAATTCTATTAAGCACTACATTAGCTCCGGGTGCATGGCCGTTGTTCCTGCCGAAGACCTACTGCAGGTCTATTGATGCTCTAGGCCTGTGATGTTTTGGGGGCTGTTCATCAACCGCAATTTTTACTTGATGTGAGGGCTCTGGACTTCAGGCCACAAATTAATTGCCATTCATCACGCAGCTCAGTCAATAATGGAAAGCTATGACGAAAAGTAATATTTTTGCAATTGTAGGTTGAGAGCAGCTTCGCTGGCAACTTATTTATACTCTCCACAATAATTGCTCAGGACTTGAGGTACAGCATGAGGCTTGCGAATGCACCACATAAACGCTGGTTCATACTTGCCACGAAAGCGAAAACTCACGCGAATTTGTGAGGGCAGGTCAAATATTGGCATTGAGAATTTGTAAAAGTTGAACCCAGTTTCAGTTCAAGCGAAAATGACCTGCAAATTTGTCGTGACGTCAGATTCGCTTCGCTTTCGCCTGAAGTATGAACCGGCCTTAAGGGAGTTTTGGAGGAGAAATGTGGTTCTGAAAAACCGGTGAGTAGGAAGTTTCGACCTAGATGCTCTGGTAACAAGGGCACTCTCCCACTGAAGGTGTACCAAGCGGGTAAGTCAATGACGTCATACCAACCGAGACCGATGATTGGCAAGATCGCACTGTCTCGGCATGGCACCCTTGAAAAATCGCTCAGGTCGCACTGTCTGTCCGCTCTCAGTGTACAAAATGCCATAGGAAACTATTGTGTTCTATGTCATGCAGGCGGGCTTCCCTGTTTTCCCGTTTATGTAAACGGGCACCAATGACGTTACGGGAACATAAGAAGCGGTAATTTTTGAATCAACCGAAGAGGCAGGACGGAGGAAGAGGGTAGAGACGAGACATTTATTTGAAAATTCATGTTTCTTAATTAATGGAGGAATTTCATTGGTACTGTTCATCAAACCAATACATGACTTGGGACGTTTTTGGGACGTTTCCAAGTAAGTACCAATACTGAGGTGGTCCAGTACTTTATTTTTACTCTGTCATTTCTATATAGCTCAATTATTTTTACATTGATCACTGGTCGCTCATATTACTTCCAGACGATATGTATAGAAATAAAGACAGTTATTAAACGGCTTCGGATCACACTGATTTTCATTATAGATCAGTCAAGTCAGAACGTTGGGGGGGATATGATAGATATGGCAGAAAACTTTCACCATTGCTTCTTGAAAGTAACCAGTCAGGGGGCCTGTGAGCCATTTTTAGCGCAGAGGTGATGTTCAACCATAACTATTCAGGGCGCACTGTTTCATGATGATACTTTGAAGACATTTTGTGAAGGCTGCTCCTGAATTTGTGCTTTGCAAAAAAGCGAAGTTTAACCACCCTCCGTCCGTTTCGAGGAGCGCTTTCTGAATGCTTACCTCAGCTGTATGAGCCTCCAGCTAGTCAAAGAGAGGGCGCAATTTTCCTACAACTTCTTCCTTTGGTCGGACTGACACTTCGCTGGTTCACAAACGAGTTTCAAATGCACGCATTGCAGTCGCATCGCTACCAACAAAATGAACACTCCCGACCATATGGCTTTTTTCAACCGATGAGGGGGTGCTTCTGCTCGAGACGGATTGAGTCAGCAATTAGGTTTTGACAATCATCGGAATGTCTTGTGACGTGCTTTCCACGCAGGTCGGTGGGATTGCGCTCACAGAGCTACGCTGGGTACTCAGATTGCCGCCACCGGTCGTAAGGGGTGCCGTCTGAGAAACATCTGCGCTTCGTTTGCGTAGTTGATACCGCTGGGTCATCAAGGTCGATATGGTGTACAGGTAGGGGTTGATGGACGAGTTGATTGGGAGAATAAAGACCATTGTCCAGGCGTAGGTTTGTACTGGAATCGTGACGGCTCCAGTCTGCGACAGAAGTCCCATTATTATGATTGGCATCCAGCAGGCGAAATCAGTGCCGACGATCAGCGCCATCTTGACTGCCATTTTGATTTCCTCGTCTCGATCCCGCCTCCTGGTGGCGCCCTTAGATGAGCGTTTGACGGACACGAAAATGGCGACATAGCACACCAGAATGATCACAAAGCAAATGAGGCTCACGACAATAAACATGAAAATGGCGTAATAGGAGGCCGGCGTCTTCTCATCCATTTCGTCGAAGACAAACGCGAAGGTCAAGTTGTCCGTTTCAAGCCAAGACGCCTTGTAATCCGACTTAGTAGCCAGTGGCAATCCCACGCAAACGTCTGACAGGCCGTAAAAACCTGGGACATACTTCTCGATGACGTTCGGTAGGAGACTCAAGAAGCCTGACAGCGCCCATGTGATCACCACGGTGACCCGAGCGGAACGAACGCGCAGCCGAAAGTTGCCGAAAGGGAAGGCAATACAGAGGAATCTATCCACGCTGATAACGGTGATAATAAACATGGACGCCTCGCTGGAGGCCACGGATATGACGCCAGCCAGCTTGCAGAGGGGTGCTGAGCGCCAATAGACCGCGTGCAGAAAGTAGTCCTGGCCAAAGTGCAGGTCCGCACTGCCTATCATGACCATGTAGATGCCCATCAGCAGGTCAGCCACGGCCAAGTTGAGGATCAGGAAGATCTGGACTCGGTTGTGCGGTTCCGTGTGCCTCTGCCTGTGGCGCCAAAAGATCACGAAGACATTGCCCACCACGGCACTCAGACCTAGGATCCATATGAAGGCGCGGAGAACGGTCTGGCGAAGGAGGCCCTCGCAGGTGGCAAAGGGTGACGGAGGAGTGTGGCACTCTGTGCTGGCACTGAGCAGACAACAAAGCCGGTGATCATCAGCTGAACTACATGAGAAAGGAGCAACCAATTATCGTGTTGTGTGATAAACACGACTACGACCTCCGTGAAGCGGTACCCTATGCGCTCATTGGATATTTGGCGAATGCGCAAAAATCCCATTGTTCCCCTCGTGAGTTTCAGACACACTCATCAAGAATGACTTACAATGGTCAGCTGCATCTTTCTAGCACCGCTGAGGAAAAATAATCATAGGCAAAGAATCCCCTGGTCTGGGTGATGTATATGGTCTATAGCAATGCTATGCAGAAAAAAATGACAAAAGTATCTGGAGTTGATTACATCCTCTCCACTCTCAAGACCAGCCGCTGAAATGATACTAAATATTTGACATCGCCACGCCTATCACAACATGCGCCTAAAAAGTTGTACTTACAACGAATAAAGGGACTCTAACCCGTCGAACATGCCGCGTTCCAGATCTGCAATATCCGTCTTCATCTGAACCCTGGCCAAGACACAACAAAAGAATCCTAAGGTCTGAGATGAAATTTCTGAGATGGTAGACTGGAAATAAAGTATGATATTCTGTATTATCATGAAGACGACTGCCAAAGTCGACTAAGTACATGTAATCATAAAGGTTGGAAATATTTCTGGAAATCCTCAGAAAACATTTGGGGATGTGGTTTTAAGTAATGAATTCCTGTTCAATAAGTTTGAAATTCAATTTGTTTTTCGATATATATAGTTTCTTATGTGAAATTTTAAAAATGTGAAAATTAAACAATGAAAGCCACATCTACCTGTTGAGCACTGTTAACACCTAAGCCCCAGAATTAGTTTTAATGAAAGAGATGTCTGTATAATTATATGCACGGGTCAACTTACATGTAGAGTTCGTTCATTGCAGCCGACAAGCCTGCAAAAGCGCCTTTCTCGATTGCAATGATTGGATTTTCTGAGAGATCCCTGGCAATCAAACAAACAGCGATTATAAAACAACTATGACTTGAAAAATCAGCCGATTATAGCACGTTGATACCATTGATAGTGAAATGTGCCTCATTTCCATAACTTCCTTGTACGATCCACCTGCCAATTTGTAGAGCCGTGCATGAGTGTTGCGACATGTTGGGACCAAAGATGGCTATCAATCCCAATGACAGCGTGCACCGACACGCTGTCTCCTCTTCATGTGGTCCACACTTTGGGGCCACACCTTTAAGGCCGTTGATGACACATTAGATTAGATATGCACTTTTCATACTTACAAATACTCGAGCTCGGAAAGGCCGCTGAAAGTGCCGTTTCTCAAAAAGACGAGATTATTCAGATCAAGATGCCTGCCAAGGTAGAGAAAAAACTTTCTATTGGGAGACTTTGAGACGCTGGTGGCAGAAGACCCTTTTCATGGTATTGCTCTTGCTCAGAACTATGCACGCATGCTCAGAACGTGTGCATGCTCCGAACTGGGTAAAAGGACTGGTGCGTTTCTCGCCCTCAAGGTCTCCTATTGAAGTGTCATCAATAAATCAAGATGTGTTAGCCTTTTAATCATGAAAGTGGGAATTCGTTTTTGTGTTTCAAAGAAAATTATTTTAATTTTATATAATGCACGTTTTTGTTCCAACCTTCTGGTTTTAATTTGTGCAGTCAGATGTTCAACCGTAAGTCAGTCACCCCATTTCTAGTCTGGTCAAACCGTAAATCAAATGAGCTGTAACTTGTTTTGCGTTTTATTGTCAGTTTCTGACATCCTTCAATTTCCCCCCAAGAACAAAGAATGATGATTCAAAACGGCTTACAGTGCTTTAAGTTGTATGAGTGGCTCGAACACGCCAGGGATCAGTTCCGTTATGTTGTTCCTGCTCAAAAATCTGTAGTATAACACATTTAAATCAACAACATTTCTAAGTGCAAAAGACAAAAGAAACACCTCGATTGAGATATTTAGTATCCTTAAATGAAATTTGCTGATGCTACATGTGTGATGCTGCCTACATCAACGGAGGAAATCTCATGGTGTATAGAATAACGATTCATGTCTGTTCGCCTTCTCAGTGTAATTCTCTGCACAGGGCTGACATTGATTAAGTGTGCAGCTGCATATGGGTCCCGGGCAGCACCAAGAGAGGGCGCGAATATCTTAGCAACAGCGGCTTCGGGCAAGTTCCAGCGACGACTGTAGTTAACTTTGGCTTGACTAACACCGCCCCATTTGGGGCCTAGGGGTATGGTCGCACCAATGGTTACCAATAGCCGATTTCATTTATCATTACAGAGAGAACCATTCACATGGTATAATAACTGTACGAGATTTCAATGACCACGTACGCTGCAAGAATTGCAGCCAACGGTGAAATGTGTAACACGATGAGATTTAAAAAAAAATTGGCCGACTAGGGACGTTCCAGTGCCAAAGATTTGCGCATGCGCACTGTAAAAAAGCAGTTGACTACTGGTTGAACTAAAGTTCGCGCCCTTCTTTGGTGGGAACTGCACTTCGCTGGTTCACAAACGGCTACGAAATGCACGCGTTACGGTCGCGTCGACTCCCCACCAGCACGACTCTTTTCAACCAATCAGTGAGTGCTTCTATTCGAGGAGGTTAGCCTTGGCTGTATTATCCAATCGCTGCAACTGATTTCGGCAATCTATATAACATAGCCTATATTTAGCAGGCAATACAAATCTCTGCAGCGTACCTTAAGAAGAGAGTACTTAGAGCAGGTATAGGCCTGCTTCATTGAAAATTGACACAGGACATTGAATCAAAATACTCACAGATGTTTGAGATTTCGAAGACCTCGGAAGGCGCCGTATTCGATCGTGTCGATTTCATTGTCCATCAAATTCCTTTTTCAAAATGAAAAGGAAAACAATGCATGTGATGTAAAATACCGATTGCGCCCGCTAAATCACGTGACCTATATGGTGGATATCAGCCCCTCATATCAACGCGTGTTTGAGTGTTTACAAACAATACAGCAAAATTATGGTATAGTACTCAGCATATCAGAAATCTGAGTACGGTAACTCGGCTTTATTTTTGGTAACACTTTGCTTTTGATGGACGCAATGTTTGTTGATATTTAATACCACTATAGGTCACGTGACTTAGCAGGCGCAATCGGTCTATTGGATGTTTGTTATTTTAAAGTGGCCAATAATAAGGGTTCAAACAACAGGATAGAATTAGCGAACAATGTAGTTTCTTTCGCGCGTACTGTATGTGGGTCTACCGCGATGACGTCGATATATAGGTTCATAATTAACACGCTTTGTCTCAGTTGGCTCAAACAAACAGCAGTTGTTCAATATCTTTCAGCTAGGTACAGGAATCTATCTTCTAGTTCGAAAAATTGAGCTCATTGATTTAATTAATTTATTATTTCAGAGATTAAAATGAAGGATGTGTGTCTGATAGAAATGGTAATTTACCAATGATGAGCAGGCAGCAGAATTGGAATTTAGAGGTAATGGGTTTTGATTATTCACATGTAGGCCTATCAGGACTTGCGACAGAAAACGTATTTCTGCAGGCAGCAGAATTGGGATTTAGAGGTAATAGGTTTTGATAAATCACATGCAGGCCTATCAGGACTTGTGACAGAAAACGCATTCCTGCAGGCAGCAGAATTGGGATTTAGAGGTAATGGGTTTTGATAAATCACATGTAGGCCTATCAGGACTTGCGACAGAAAACGTATTTCTGCAGGCAGCAGAATTGGGATTTAGAGGTAATAGGTTTTGATAAATCACATGTAGGCCTATCAGGACTTGCGACAGAAAACGCATTCCTGCAGGTAGAAGAAATGAGATTTAGAGGTAATGGGTTTTGATAAATCACGTGTAGGCCCATCAGGACTTGCGACAGAAAACGCATCCCTCGTTTAATTCTTGCATGAATACTCGCTCACAAAAACACCCTGTTTGGCTCTGATAAGGCATGTATTGGCTAATTTGATTACACGAATCCTGCCCGCATGCTTTCTCACGCAGAAAGACTTGCCTTCGATATTGTCTATAGCCTACCTGTCATATTAGAATACAATGCAAAGTCTTACAAAACATGCGTGCCACAAAGCCAGCAGATGACGGGTGGCTTTTTAACTTAACGGTCCAACGGCTACACGACGAAATCATTATGAGAAAATGTGATACATGAGTTTGATATCTTTGCTGTTGTGATCGAAATGACAATCCGCAAATACTAGGAGCCACCGACGGCTGTTTTACCGTGGACACTTTTGCTCGAAACGAATTATTCACATCAGCTAGTGGCCTTGTTCAGAAATAAGATAATTACAGGCCGCTACAAGTAAACGTTGGGAGAACCAACCTTCCAAAACCACTCTGTGGTGATTAATTCTAGCACTATGAAAGTATACATAAAGAACCTTCATCGAAAATTTAACGGTAGGTTAACTTCAATCACGTTTAAACCTCTTGTTCACACTGATATTGCTTGAAACCTTTGTGCTTAGAGTTAGTAAGGACAAATGCAAAGCCCACCCTCTTGTTAGATGTGGTTTAATCACTCCCGAGGTCGTTCGCTCCAAAGAAATAAAAAAATTTAAAACACAGGTCAGGTGAAAAATTCTCACAAAATGTAGGCGTCAGATTTTTTTTATTGTGCAAGTTGAACACGATTCTGCAACAACATACCAAAGAGTGTATCAAATAATATTAATGAAATCAAAAGGCACGAAAATCATGCATGTGTATCCGGATTAGTGCCACTTCACGAATGGCTGAAGCTGTTTGTAATATGTGACCGGTTTTCACGGGTACATTCCTTGCGATATGACGAACGTGGAAAACACTATGCGTGCGTGCAGACAGCTTAAAAATCGACTTACAGTCTGTCTAGAGACCGAAGCGGTAAAAAGGCATCAGCAGGCAGCCTCCTCACGGCATTTTTGTTGAGGTGACTGCACAAAATTATGAGAAAATTAGAAATAATACAAATAATGGTGGAATTTCTACAGCGCCCACCAATTGTAAACATCTTTTTCAATGCGCTACTACAAAAAGTACAGTTGAAAATTTTACAAACAAGAGGAAACCACACCTCAAAAATGTTTCATCAACTTAATCATCTAGGCCAAGGGAAACGATGAGGAACGGAATGACACATTTTGCTTGAAAGAACTCACCCTGCCCTCAGCACTGAGTGCAAATTTAAATTGATCCGAAAATCAACTCAAGATATTGTGAACTTCAGAAACACGCATGCAAGAAAGAATTATCATGGCGGTATGCAAGCATTTTGGGGATGGTTTGCAGATCTACACTGTGATGTTAATATCACACCCTAGCAAAGGACTACACCATACTGATAATACCCAGAATGTTGAATTAATAATGATTTAATGACACAAGTTTTGCGTTGTTGAAGAAATAAATGGGATCCTTTTCTCGAAAAGAATCCTGGCAAGCGAAAGAATGATAGTTCAAATTGAAAAGTGCAGTATAACTGATTCTTTCGAACGACAGACAAGAATAAAATAGTTGCCAGCCACGTTTTGGTAAACCCTGGCGCTGAAATACTCAATTAACTATTCACATTCAGCCAGGTTCCCTATGTTTGAGAAAGAAAGCTTCCATTTTGAAAGGAGATCAATATCCAATTTACCTGAGTCCTTTGCACCAAAACTAAACTGTGGTATTAAATTGGTGTTTCAAGAACAATTCCACAGTCACGCAAGTTCAGTTCTTATTTTTTTTTGTGTGTGAAGCAAGTGTTGAGAATTCGATTGAAAGAAAGCGCGATAACATCAACGATGTGTTGATAATGAAACAAAAACATTCTGCCCCATTTTTCTTGAGCAAGGGCTTGTACATCTGGTAATAATTCTACTCACAGTTGCTGGAGACTGCTCAATCCGGAAAATGCTTCAACGGGTAGGTCTGCGATAGTATTTTGGGAAAGAAACCTGAAAAATAAAAAAGTTCCTAAAAAGCCTTTTTCACAATGCTATTAACCATTAACATTTTCACAACTTCTCAAGTAACTTTGTTTCATATTGATTCCTTTGAGACATTTCCAATTAACAGCACAAAGACAACTCACAAAACTTGTAATGCCGACATGTCGCGGAAACTTCTTGGTTGAACAGTCGTGATATCGTTACTGTACAGTAATCTAAAAGGAAGTGGACAAGAGGGTCAAGTACATGCTAGACAGATTGTAACACTTTCGTTCTCAAGGGTCAGTTTTGATGGTTGGTGTGACCTTAAGGCAGCACAGGCGCTGGACAGGTGCTTTCTAATCTCGCCACTTCCGAAAACATACTTATTTTGGTTTCATTTCTTTAGCTATTTGGCAATGTAATTTTCAGGTTTGAGAAGTGGTAGACAACAGGAAAGCCTACCGCCAATGATTCGACCCGAAATACTTTTTATTTGCAGAGGCCGAAGGAGTAAGTCACCATCGACCATTGAGGCAATTTGGTATTCAAAAAAGGCAAGGTCACTCGAGAACAAAGCGCTTGCATCGGCGTAGGACCGCATGGACTGGTTCCCGTCCCATAGTCTCCAAACGTCTTATAGACGTCCTCCGAACGTACGTATAGGGACCGATAGCGGGTAATGATTCAGGAGGAATCCTGCCGGTTTATGCTAATGAGGAAATTAGCATAACCCCACAATGCAACAGTGTCACGGGACAAAACTTGGGAAGACTCTCTAGAATGGATTAACACTTTCTCTACTAAATTATTTCCGCACGCAACACACTTTCAGACGTATCTACCTGCTTTTATAGATAACCGCTTCCAAAATTACAGGGGAAAAACCTTTCTGAAGTTTTCCAGAGAGCCATGTGTTCAGCTGTCACGCGTGCGAAACGTTGTGTGTAAAAATTATCTCTGTAGGGCTAAATAAAAAGAAATAGTTACGCATGTGCAGAACTAACCACAGACTCCAGAAGCTAGCTAGCTCCCGGTCCCTATATAATAAGGACACGGACCAGTCCAAAGGCCGCACTGATGGAACAGACCTCGTGTGCACTGTGTTTCCCGAATGACCGCCGACGCGCTGCTTTATTTGGAACAAAAAATTTGTGGCCAAACCACACTGGCTCACTTTAATAGGGAAATCATGTCAGGTTCATTTGAAAGAACTATAAATCATACAAGTAATCAACTGCTCACAGGGAGTTGCCTGCATGCACTTCGCTACTCACTATATTGTAGATTCTGAATTGCTTATTTCTGAAGAAATCTCATCATGTTAACACCAACAGGTGCATTTTCCGTTGTGATTCATTATGAATAAGTACGTATGCCAGCTGGTTTATGTGTACTTACAAAGTGTGGACGTGTTTTAAGCCTGGAAATGAATCTTCGTCGAGGTACCCAATTTTATCACTCACAAGAGTTCTGTTCAAGGGGAAAATGTTTGAAGACACAATAAACAACTAGAAAAAAAGCCCCACAGACGAGAAGAAGGCCAACATGAACCTGAATCCTCCACCGCACCTTCTTAAGTGGCATGGTTGACCAGATCCAACCGGTAGTGTCAATTAGGGGCGATGGGACTTAATTTATAATTCCATGCTGCAGCTTTTAGGCAATTAGGTCGACCACGAGTGCTCCCCAGCCAAATTGCATACTGAAAAAGCAAACATGTGGCCTAATTGATTTACATATCACAATTATCCGTATACACCCCCGTTTGAAGTCCTGAATATTTACGGATGATAAATGAAGCCATTACTGCATTTTAGTGGAGAAAAGCCTTTTAGAGATTAATTGGCAGAGCAAAGAAACATTCAACGGCCTCACGTCATCACCCCTTTTTTGCTGAATCGCACGGGAGTAATTTATTGTTATTTTGCATTTTTCGGACCCGATCAGCGTCCTCTTGCATTACACAGAAAACACTTTTCTAAAATATGACACCATGACGGTTCTTTGATTTCTCAACGGTCACAGTTAATGGGTATCTAGGCCTATAAACGCTTAAACATGAAAAAGATTCGAAGAATTCGAAACTAAAACTTCCCAGCTCTCGTTTTCTCCTACTGGGCGCATTATCTATCCATAATTCCGTCATGAGCGCCGGTACTTTCTTGTTTCAACCTCTTCACTGGGCGATTATGCTGTTTTATTTGCGTTCCAATTGCATTGAGAAGTTACAGAGAGGTTTATGCACAAAGCACTTCAATTTGTCATGGTTATCAGCTGCAAGTCTAAATTGGTTTGACATTTGGGTTCAGTTGCAAAGTCAAAATAGACTCACAAGATCCTGAGGTGCTTGAACTCTGTGAAGTCTAGATGGATACTTTCTTTCACGGACTGTGATGCACCACCGCCCCTGCTGGTACCGGCTTGACTGGTATTGGAATGGAATTCTCCCAGATTTATCGCTAAGCTGTAGAATAACATTCCAGAAAATATTTTTTCTTTACTTTTCCTTCCCTTTCCTTAAAAGAAACATGAAAGGGCAACTCGAAAAAGAGTTTTCATTTATATGGCGCCTCGTTTGAAGTGGTTTTCACTCGTTTTGAGAGTGAGTTGTCACATAATTCATTGATGTTCATTTCTTCCGTTTTTAAATTGTCTTTGAATGTATTATCAACTCTCAGCGTTTTTCTTCTCCCACCCCGAGTGTTGACTCACAGGTTTACCGTGTCCCTGGAAACCCAACTAGCCGAGGCTGCATCCCAGGGCACACCGTAACAGAGGAGGTTGTAGCCGCCACATAGGCACTGGGGCGGACATGGCTCGCCTGGGAGATAGGGGGGCAAAGTAATGGCACGGTTACACAGAGTGTTGTATTCGAGTCTATCACGAGTCTCTATCAACGAATCTTGACGTAAGCCTGTTATATCTCTGATGCTATTGAGATTAACTACTGACCACAGTACTATTTTATCGACAAGAATATATAATATCAAATCATTGCTGTGAAATATGTGATTGCCGAGCTTTCGGTAACTGAGTACCTTCTTCAGGGCATGCAAGCAGATTCAGTTCTATAGTATCCGGTTCGTAAGTGACTTCGTCACAAAGGCTGACGCGCAACGATTTGCAGGCTCCCATTGGACTCGCTGAAGTTGTGCGTTAACTTCCGATTCCATGGTTCCATGTAAACGGCGATCAATGCATGTAACTCTATGTGCAGTACAGTGCATGTGCGGTGGGCGTGGTTTAAGCTGAAGTGACGTCACACTTACGAACCGGATAGAAACTCAGAAACACAAGCTGGTTACCACATCCTAGTTCATCCCCGTGTCCGGGGCAGTCATCTGTCCCATCACACACCGCTGTCATGTTGACGCATGCGTCGTCGGTTGCGCACAGAGTTCTTCCCATGCTGCAACCATCATCCGGAGTTTCTTAAAAGAAAATAAAAATGGAAAGAAATTAACCACCACTCTGTGCCTTTTCCTTCGATGTCACGTGGTGACAATTTGATCCGGGTATTTTGACATGTTGAGTATATTATCACAACGTCATTTGTGAAAGTGATGACTAAATATTCTAGGCAATATTAACTTCCGACGAAGGTAATTTGAAGCGACAAGCTCGCTATAGCTCTTGAATCGGTGACACAAATAGCCACGCTACAAAATGCTTTCACTTGAACTAACCGTAATAAATTCTTCGGTCACTGCAATTCGGTATATTTAGAGGGAAACCATCTGTTACGATTTATATAATCACGCTTGCGAGTTAATTAATTATTCCACCACTAGTACTATAACACCTGGAACGCCATCGCACTGTAAACCGAAAAGGGAAAAATTGAAAAAAAAATGGCAATGACCGACTGCTTTTTATCAAAACAATTGGATGAATAAATTCTTTAGAGTCGTAATATAAGGGCACTATTCATTTATCATAACCGAGGTATGGAACCTCGAACTCATTGCATACATTTTGAACCGTGATATCCATTTCAGGTTCGGTCCCACTGACGGCCGGGGATCGCTGTCCATATCGCCTTTCAGACGACAGTGGACATGCCTCTACACTGAAAAGAAAAAAAACTTGTGGGTATCTATGACTGAACTCAATACGGTGGCTCGAGGATTGACAAGAAATAAGGTCACTTACGACAGAAAAATTCATCATCTCCGCCGGCACAGTCTTTGGCTCCGTCACAGACAAGACTGGGCCGGATACAGCGCCCGCCTCCGTCCATGCAGTGGTAGCTATCCGACGTACAAGGAACGTTTGCTGTTTGATCATGAATGGAAAATGAACTTCGCGATAGATGTGAGCCATATCTGAGGGTCACAAAAACGCTACAGTGATCTCAACAGATGGTGGCCGTCTTAAATTAACTTGACATAAGTATGAAAAGCTAAGGAAAAACGACAGCTGTTCTGATGGACGTGTTTCACTTTTAGGCTAATTAAACTTGATGGCTCGTAAAGTATCAGGTTGACCCGTATACAAGTCAAGCAGTCGACTACACTTGCTTTCTAGGGTGACTTAAACAGGTATACTTAAATTGCATTACAGAAAACACCAAAACAACCCTGGCAAATAATTAATCGGACAGAGTTCAGATCGAGAATAAAACAATAAGTGCGAACTGTATTACATATCTATTATGTTTAATTCTGAAAAATATACTTAGGCCTACTCTAAAAATCAGCTAAAATAATCGTCTCAAGATATCTAACTGGAATATCCGTTGTGGATGGCGTTCCTCATCGAAAGCTTAATCTCTCTGCATATATACTTTTCTTTAGAAACCATACATTAACGTCATTTTTCAAGAACCAGTGAAATACAAGAGTATTTGCTGTTTCAAAGTATCAGCCATCAGGATAAAGGTCGTTTTTCGAGCGATATGATGTCGCCCATATGTCGCTGGTGATGCGCTGGTACTATGAACCTGCGTTTCGTTTGTGAACGTTTGCCGTCACGAAGGCAGCTTTATCTCAACTGTGCTCTTCAATCTACCTAGCTGTAGACTGAGGAAATGGCAAAGGCTACTTCTAATTGCAAAAATTACGTCATGAAAAGATCGGTTTTCTGTGAGGTTAGTCGGTGTCCCCTTCGTGAGGAGCTGTCATGACAAATCTCCCTTGATTGGCCAGCCCCACTTCACCGACAACGGCATGAAGCAACCGAGCCTTCTGGTGATGCCTAGGGGTCAGGAATTCACTCGACACCGGTGGAAACTGTGCTAATGGTGAAATGCTTCCCCGGATTTCCATATTGCCGATGAAACCGTAGTTTCAGACATAACGAGAACTACCACGACCCAAATTTGGGTACTAATTGGAAAGTGTAAAGTGACTCATATTTTGCATCTGATGGTTAACTGATAAGTGAATGCTGATAAGTGACATCAATGACAGTAGAACCTCTGCCGCCCTTCTCTCTCAGACATCCACTGAAAGGCTCCCGTGCTGTTAATTTTGTTGTTGCTCTATTGTTATTACTGTTAATTGTTTTGGTTTGCCACTGTCATAATAATCCGGTCAATTGCATTGCTTCTTAATCTTAAAGTTAAACTTGGAAACTGCAATTATCCCAGTGGTTAATTCGTCAACATGATCAATGTATGTCCCATAATAAAAAAAAGCCTTTTCAACGAGCAATACAAACCAAACAATCATAACGTGGTTAGTGAATTCCAAATCTATAAGACGGCGTCCGAGAGATTACGGTGCCTGTCTCAAGCACAATGTAAAGCTATCCTTGAGGTTTGATGTACGTTTCAAAGGGACCGCAAAAAATCTGCGTTTATTTTAAACGATATCATATCTAAACAAAAGTTTTCTGGTTAGTCTATCGTTCTTCTTGTTAAGTGGAACACAGTGCAATAGCGGCGAATCTTCAATCGGACAAAACCATTTTTTTTTTCAAACTGACCCTTTTCCACCGTAAATTACTGTGATACAAATCACACTTATGAAGCCTTCAATATGGCAAAATTCATCCTTGCTCAACAAATTCGGATTTTAGTCCCAAAATACGTGTGAGGACATTGAATTTCCTTTTGAGTGATACATTTTGGGTTGTCACTGACTGTTAGGCTTCAACTTTAATAATTGTTTTGATAATAATTGTTTTTCCAGTAAGGTACTCACCAGAACTTGCGGTAAGAAAACAGCACACCACAAAACCAGCCGTAATCAGTGATATTGCTCCTCGGTTAACAAAGGTAAGCATAGTGCCAGACGCGTCCTTACAAAGGGCAGGCAGCATTTGAAGGTTAGCGGTACGAGGGTCACGACGCTGACTCGTCTCCGGTGCTGCACACGGCGAACGGTTCCTCCCGACGGAAGCGGAGATGACTGGAGCAGACTGCTTGGTATATTACGGCCTGGAGTGACAGAAAACCTCTCAGGAAACTCCCCACACGACACTTGCGGGTTTTTATTAAGCTGTCACGGATCTGCCGGCAAGTGGCTCTACCTACGGCTATTCTGTGTGCGATAGTTAGTGTATGACTGTGAGATTGCGGTGACGCTACCCAGGCTCTGAATTACATGTAGGCCTAGTTGTAACCCTAAAGAAACCTGGACATTTTTATCTGTGAGGTTGCCCACCTAATCAAAATAACAAATTTTTGCAAGGCCGAATAGGAAACTGCATCAATCCTTTTGTCTGCAAGCTTTAGCTTTGTCTGCCAGCATTCGGCCAAGTCGGCCAACGTTGCATCAGTTGTCTCGCGAGGGCGCTACATGGCCACTTTGTTCGCCTCCTCCAGTCGCCCGTTTCACATTCGCCGTGACCGCCAATCTCTTTCAATTTCAGGGAAAAGGAAAGCATCGCAGGTGCTATGACATTCCGGGCGAATTTTCGGCGTGTAAGACTGGCACCAACTTCCTGCCACATAGCGGCATATGAGTTCTTCCCTGGGCCATTGAATATTTTCTCTCTGTAAAATTTAGGAACACTAACTTGCACGAGATTTCCTGGAGTCATTCTTTGGGTGGGATACGGCCGACAATGCGAGCAAATAACACGCAACATACCTCAAAGAGTTAACCACTTGTATACCTGCACTCTTTGAATTTGCTGTTAGATTGACGTTGGGGCTCAATCGTGTAGAGGAAGCGTAGGCGTTTTGCCCTGCGCAGCAAAACATACGCAATGCTATCGCCCCAGGTAAACCTTTGCATATGTACTGGCCTACCAACATTAATTCCTTCCTTGTGCCTCTTTGAAACACTAAGTTTGGAAACCGTACGTGACCTGCATTTGTCTTCGAAACTGTTACGGATGCTACTAAGCATTTCCCACCCCTGCATCTCTAAGTCTAGACCAAATACTTCCGAACTGTGCCAGTATGGTGGAGGACTCTTGATATGTTTCACCCTATCAAACGGCATATTAGGCGTCTGCGATTATTTTTGGTGGCTGGAGTGCGTGCGGACATAAATAGTCCGCGCCGGAAAATTACGTCTGGCTCTTGGATCAGTAGAGGCAATGATCCAAATGGAGAATCACTGAAGACAATGTCAACTTAGAGTATAAGGCCTGACGACTGTTCCATGCGCGAAGTTGGGGAAGCAAAGATTGTACCCAGACATCTAAACTACATGTATTTGGATACCACTAGTCATAGTCAAGCAGCTGGTCATCACGTACTGTACACCCTTTCGTCACCTCATCATCACAGGAATTGTTTCCCTCTCAAGTCTTTGCCCACCCGTATCACTGTGCGGGTTAAACAAAATATGCACGTGTAATGTGATCAGTGCCGATAAAGCGTGAATTTCGCTAAATTGTGAGTTTCGTTAATTACAAATTGCCTAAAAAACGTGCTCAATTGGAGAAACGAAAAGTGAAGACCTATAGCGAAAATGGACAAAGTAATAACGTTTAGTCTTGAATCGCATCTGCGCACATCATCTTTTTTGTCGCGGTTGAGGACCTAATGCGGGATGAAAAGGTGCCGTAAATGGTCGTAAATAACTAATAATGCCTACATCTCGGCACACAGCAATGTCGTTTGGATATGGAGGAATGCACTTAACCAAGCAGTGTCCGTCTTCGGTTTTCTCAAGTAAATAAAGAGAGGTGGAAATACAACTGCGAGGTTCTGTTGATGCCATCATCACGGTAACGAGTCAGTAAGCAAAATGACTCATGCACTGTCTGACGCGCGCTCGCCCCAACGCCTGACCTTCACCCCTGATCAGTTCGCATTATCACGCCTTACCATATTTCAGCTCGAGTTCCGTATTGCTGAATCCATTTTTAGACATCAGAAGCAATTATTAGAGAAACTTCCTCCAGCAATTCAAGACGATATTATTACTAACTTTGGCAGTGGAGTATTTAACCAACATGTGCAGAGTTATGATGTCGATTTATGACTTTGAAGCTGAATGCCAGATACCACAGTACAACTAGCCTTCAGCAAGATTAATTTGATTTGCGAACCCATATGGCAGTGTTGTATTCGATTCTAGCACAAGTCCACAGGTCCCTTCCCACAAGCCCAGTCACAAGTCCCTACATAAAGCCAGTCACGCGAAATAGGGTGAACAGTGACAAAAGAATGCTTTTGTCATAATTTTATTTCAATTGCTCGTGAATTGGCTTAAGACTGAATGACTTGTGATGGACTCAAATACAACATTGCCCGATTGTCAAATCTTTAAGCTCATTGTCCACTTGATCTTGGTATGGGGTTTTTAAAGCACACGGAATCTACTCCGATTAGCCACCATAACAGCGGTAGCACTGCTCTCAATGTACCAGGCAAGATATGGGACGGAGGGGAACCCCCCCTACCTGTTCAATCCCTATACACACTCTAGACTATTGTTACCAAACATATCCCCCCTAGAAGTCTGTAAAGAATTCCTGAGATTCCGATAAAACAATGACCAACACAAAGGCGGGGGGGTTCTCTCCGTCCCATATCTTGCTTCAAATGGCACTCAAATGCACATGCTTGACGCACGCGTGCATTTGGCAAACCACGGACCCTTTTGATCGAAGAGGCGTGTAACGCGCGCGTACCACCTGTCCTGGAGAGTTGCGGCACCTCAGTAATGGCTTCTAATTCTGGTCGACGAATAACGCTTTAGCAGATGACTCTGCCATGACCAGATTGATTGATTCAGACAATGACCTATCAAGAAAGAATCAAATAGTACAACAAGCAATTAAACAAGCGTCCTTGATCACCCGCTCATTTTATCGAGTACAGCAGTACCCCAGACTTTAATTAAACCTTGCTGTGAGGGATTAATCCAACTCCTCCAGTATTGTGACATGATAATAGCTTTTAGGAACATCCACTCCATTTGCCTTTATTTTGTCTTCCAAGGGTAATGTGTTGAATGCATCATGACCCAACAGCAATTAGTTGGCAACTACCCATCCTTCTCCAAGAGGGGAAGTACTCCGTTACTACTTCATATACTCCCAATTCATCAAATCTGGAGTCTTGACTGATAATCTGCTATTCTGCATTATGACAGAACTTATTTGTGCACCAAGCAAACTTCAGAGAGGTCGAGAGGTTACATATTGAGCTAATGATTAATGATGCTTGTACTAGTTCAGCGTCCTGGCTTCTTTGACAAATTACGGAAATGAACGGCAGGCAGAAAAGTGAGAACTGAGGACTCATACATTTGGCATATCTTTCCAAGAAATGCATAATTTTGTTTTCGTTTCATCACACTGCGCACACAATCCTCAACTTCCGAAGGCTACAGTTGCACGTAGTTTAGTGATGAACATCTCCCGAAATTCTGATGCTGCTGCAAGCCGTGCTGATGTTTTTTGTTATTAACTGTTTCATGTTGCACATGTTCCCTACGTCAAGCAGACCGGTACATTCTACTGTCACTGCAGCTTCTCCAACTCAACACAAACTATCATCGGAGTTACGGATCCACGTAGGATTCAGCTCTCCTGGCATTACACGGGCCAGCCGGGAGGCCGGTTCTTGCGCATGAGGAAGGCTATCCGGCGAGTCATCTCCTGGTTGTAGATGCGACGCATATTCTCGTACTGCACCCGCTTCCGCTTCTGAAAGGGCTTCTCGTAGTAGCGGCGCCGCCGGACGTCCTCAATGACTCCTTCTTTGTTCAGAGCACTGAAAAAGAACATTGGACAGCAATGATCACCTGAAGAACCTCTCCGGGGGGGGGGGGGTTGGAGGGAAGGCACTCGCCAACTAACAAGACAAGTTTTCACCTGATTTGATGTCGAAGAAACCTGTCTGTCTGCACAAGGGCAGGTACATGTATCACAATCACTGCCTGTCTTGTGAATGGATAACTAAGCCACAGGTGTTTGAAATATTCACCAGTTACGCTCAGCAAACCTGACACACAACGTTACTTACTTGTTGAGGGTTCTGTATGCACCATCAACATCACTGTTCTTCACAAACACGGTGCGTGCGATAAACCTCAGATGTTTGCTCATGTTGTGTGCCTTTGTTCAGAGAGGCCTGCAAAAAGGTACAATTTGAAAAAGTCTGTTTCTAGCGTTGGGATACAAATGTGACAACATGAACATTCCGGTACGGCATTGGTCAGCATCATGCACGTGTAAATGTTAGGGCGCAGTGGGTTGATCTGAGCAGGTGCTTGATCTTTACTTAATGGGTCAATCGCTAACAGGTTGTACATGCACACTAGTAGCCATCTTTCAGGTCAATGCTATACCCCTGTGGAACACAAGCGCTGACCAGGGAGATGGCTGCCATGCATAACATTTATGGCATGATTTGTGGATTATTCTGCCATCAGCCAACTAGGCCAATTGCCAGGCATTTCTTTCTGCATGTAATTCAAATTTGCGGCAGGCTGTTTCCAAACCAGAGTAATCAAAGCTTAAGATTTAGGCCAAGGCCTATTGCTACCATGACTACAGACATGACAGGACTGATTGACCAATTGCAGAGCGCAATTAGGCAACTGTGCAGATCGACCAATACCACTCATCATAAACACGTACGTATGTCAATTGATTTTGTCAATACGGGCATTTCATAATAGTGCACCTCAAAGAGTCTGCAATGTGTTGACCAATCACAGTGTTCTAAATCTGTCGACCCTTCCCAACCATACATTGGGTCGACAGATTTCGTGCACTGTGATTGGTCAACACATTGCAAACTCTTGGAGGCAAACTATTGTGAAACGTCTGATTGTTACAGTCAAAACTTGTCACTATTGCTAAAATTCATGCCGTCGATATGGACAAGCATGAACAGGGCCCAGGGACATCAAATTCAAAAATCATGCTATTTCAACTCTGCACGAAACCAAAAATCCAGTGACAAAAAAATCCTACATACCGTTTATAATCATGGAAACAATATTAACAAAGGAATGAACAGATGGAATTTACCAATACAAACCTATTTCTATTACAATTTTGTGCGAGTTTCGATTACAAATTCCGAGTCGTGCGTGATCAATGCCAAGAAATGTAAGTAGTCGGGTTCTTGTTTGGAGTCGTATCAAGGATGTGTGATAGCGTCTGGTTACTGACAATGACACGCATTGGTATCAGTGCGCCCTCAACGTTACGGTGAAATTAACTTCTTTGAAGCTTCGTTTGCAGCGGCAAAAACGAAGCAAAGAAAATGGTGAGTGACTTTCTCTTTTCTTTTTAGACATTCACCCTTCCCTGGCCAATGTCATGCTCTTTCCCACGGATATGACGGGCACCTGCACATGCAGATTTTACCTGTGCCCTTGTTTTTCGCGAGTGCCTCTCCGGTTTACCAAAATTTGTTGTCAAAGTTGGAGGTGTCCTGGTTTTGATGGATTGTCTTAATGCGCAGTTAGTACGCAGTTCACGTTGCCGTACATTGCATATCATGAACACAGCATACGTAGACAGGTACACAGCGTACATTCCATAGCGAGTCACGGTTCGACCCCAGTGACCTTGTAATCTTCTCTTGAATGGCCCCCGGATAGGGATTTTTGTGCTGTTTTGTGATTGTTGAAACATTGGTAGAGCAAGGACCAAATAACAATGGTGGTATTCCGGTCCCAGGGAAGCCTTCTAAAGGAAGTGTAGGCCCCGGGTCGACGGAATTGGAAGGGATGGGGGGAGGCTGTGATGTATATTGCCATTAATTGCCTTACACTTGACGAAATTTAAAGGGATTATTCCAGGTATTAGGGGTCCATTTTTTTGTGTCCCTGTCACATCTGACATTTGATTTTGTAAGTTCAGAACACATTTCCTGATCTCCGAGAGTGATGAATTCGTGCAAATTACCTACCAAACGAACAGTTTGAAATCAATTCTGGTGATATTTCCATGTAAACAAACGTCAGATGTAACAGGAACACAAAAATGCCACACTTTTGGACCCCTTATTTCTGGAATTACCCATAGGTGAGGTTTGAAGCTTTGGAAAGAGTTCCATTTACATGTATGGACGCCACTGAATACGTACCCTGTGCACAAACCCTTTGAGACTGGTTTGAAAATTTTAAGTGATTTCTGTGTAAATAACCTGTTTTTTTCCCTTCTAAATGGAACTTTTCTTGACATGTTTTTACTTTCTAATGGCCAGCAAGTCACTGTAGGGAATAATTACTAACGTCTGTAAACAAACTCTTCCTGAAGTTTTTTACGGTGAAGGTAGCAAGTTAAGTAAAAGGTTTGCAGTAGGCCTAGCACCATGCAAGATATCTCTTTTGTGAGTATAGGCCTATGTGGTTCTGAAAAAGAAGTCATCTTTTGGACCTATGCTTTGTCCGTCGTTACTTGTAAAGCCTACCCACTTTTTTTGGGGGGGGGTGTTTTTGTTTTATCCAAGTCTTTTGATTTTCTTTTTTCTGTTTTTTTTCCTTTTTTTTCAGCCTTTTTCTCTATTATTCATTTGTTAGAATAAACTTTTCCTCTCAGTTTTCATTCAGTCCCCTTTGTTCTCTCAAAATCGATATCTCAAGTCTTTTCCTGGTCAAGGATGAATGCTTGAATTTAGGATGTTTTCAAGCTCCTCTGTCAAGTTAATTTTGATTGAAACGTTAAATAAATAAACTAAAAGTCAGTTCGAATGGGAATTCTTTTGTGTGAAATTTTTTGGCATCTTTATAATCTTTTCAGCACTCATACACGTCATGCATGGAGCTGAGTTCCAATCAGGTGGAAATTCTTTCGTATCAACATTAACTTTTTATTTTCCTACTGAAGCAGAAAGCCATACTATATGCGTTTCAGTCAGGCTTGAAAAATTGGATTAGGAACAAGCATCAAAGTGAAAATGCCCTCCCCCTTCTCCTTTTGTTGGTAGTGAAAATTCGGTGTCATGTACATGTATCGGTAGGATACAACTGGCCGCAGAGTCGGGTAAGAATTCTATTCACTGCTGAGTTTAGTTCAGAATTTATGCAGCGATCTTAGGCAAGTCGGAAAGTCGTCGAACAAAAGCTGTGAAAATACTCGGCTAAGAAAAAAAATGAATCATGACTTATGTACATAAAACCACAATGCGATATCGAGGATGAATTGTAAATGTTCAATACGAACAAGAAAATTTCTCACAATTCCAACTCACCAAAAAAAACCCCCAAATCTGACCAACAAACACATACACTGCTTTGACGAATATCTTGAGTATGTAGGTTGATCCATGGAGTGATAATCCCCAGTTTTATTGTCCAACACTGTATGGACTTTTTGAAATAAGTTTACACATTGCTATTCTATGGAACTACTTTTGCTGTTGAACAATATTTCCCAGGTGCAAATACTTCACTCTTATATCAGAATATTTTTTTCTTAAATTCAATGACTTGAATTTTAAAGAAGCATTCACAAGAAAGGAATGTCACATTGTTGTCGTACGTGTGTACGACCGTCGGCATACAATTCCATATTGAATTTTATTTACTGGAAACATTTTGCTTTCAAAACATGTTTGGTTTTGACTGGGAAAGAAAGAGAAAGCTGTAGGAAAAAAAATCACGTAGCAGTCAGACTTTATTGAGCCAGGTTCTCCCCACTTCGGAGGAAGGATCAAAAGCCAGACAGTAGATCAATAATTAATTATGCATGAAATCGGCTGCCCGGTCCTTCTGAGCATGCCCAAAACAGGTCCTGTAGGAATGACATGTATTTCACAGCCTCTGATTGGCTCACCTGCCTGCTGCTCCCCAGCCCGGCATCCTCAGTCTTGTGCTGGTTCAGGGGCCATTATTAATTAAAGGGCTTTCTTGGAGGTGTCAGTGGGGCCCTTGCTGCATGGCCGGACAGACAAAGAGCAAGCCAGCAGAAATGCAAATTAGAATGACATCATAGAGTGGCTAGTATGCTCCCTGTTATGTACTCATGTACGTGTATTTAGGCATAAACATGGAAGAAGTGCATGATCTAAGCGGTGATTCACATTTCTCATTGTAAAATAGCCTGTAGCCTTTGAATTTTTGTAAATTATAAAATCTCTTCTGATTCCATATGTATCGAGTTTTGTTTTGAAAACCTATTGCCTTATTTCCTGCAGGCACATTTTAAATCAAAGCAGAAATTTTAGCCAAATGCACATTTCTACGAGCCTTTTAAATTTTTTTATGCCTTCTAATGCTAAATTAAAAATTCTTTGTTGTCATCAACGGGTGAAATTTGTATCTGAAGTTTCTTTTGAAATATTTGCTATTTTGAGCCAGCTGGGTTCGACAGCCAAAACCCTGTTCTGTGGATCCGCAATTTCCACTACAGGAAAATAAGTTGCTCATTAACCACATCTTTGTCAGCAAGAGAATGAGCACAGTGCCTGTAGCTGTAGACCACACCTCTTTTTCAGTCAACCAACAAGGAATTAAAAAAAAAGGACTTGATGTTTGTGAGCATGTTCATGTCGATTTGAAAGTACTGAACACAGATCAATTTTTCACTCAATGTTTACTGGTAATGTACAACAGATTGGCTATTCATGCCCCAGCCACTTGCATTTAAATTGGCGTCTGGTACCCTAGTGTGATTGTCAACATTAACCTCAGTGTATTTGACTGATTAATGATTGCAGCGTCCTAAGATGCTTCACCGGTTGACCTGGATTCTTATTTTTCATTGTCTCGGATTGGTGCGCATGGTTTGACACTGAAACCATGTTGGTATTAACATGCATGACTGTACAAGATATGTGTGTACTGTCAAGAAATAAAATACCAGCTGTGAAAAATATTTCCAGCAAGACCAGCCCTTCATGTACCAAGAAAAGATTTTTACATGTAGAAATCCCCAGAAATTTCTTTTCTTCTTCTATAAATTCTCTTTGTTAGTGAGAATGGTGTGGAAGTAGACGCACATAATTGCTTCATTGGGAACAGTGCATTTATAATTTACATGTACATCTCTTGTGAAATGGTAATTGGTGTATTCTCATAAATAGTTATCCATGGCATGCTCACACCAATAGATATAATAATAATATGCATTGTAAATACAACCATGAATTATTCATGGTGTCCAGTCATTAGTGCTTTATGCATAAGCCATAAATTGAAATGAATATTCATCAGTTTGCATAACAGAACTGTGGTCCATGCATACTTGTCATCAGTGATTGAGTGACAGCTCGATATTGCCTTTGTTGCACAGTAGTTTGCCTAGATCCAGCTTTACACCAAAAAAAAAAGACTATCCCAAATGGAAACAAAGGAAAATAGCCACATATAAGCTATAGTTACCTGGTTACCAGTGTTGCTGGTACACTGTATTATACCAGTTACTATTAAGAAATTTGAGATTTTATCTGGTGATAATTGGCATGAGTATAGTGTAGAATTTGGTCACCTGAATGCAGAATGCTAGATCTTTGTTAATTTATTTTTCAATTTATTGATTGATTGTTAATTTTTTAAAAAATCAACCTCGTCTTGTTGTTAAACAGTAGGCCCTATAATTTCAGATGTTTCCAGTATAAGATGGAGAAATGTGGTGTCATATTACATGTAACTGCAGAGAGTAGGGCAAGAGATGGTCGATGCGATGATGCCTGAGACATTGTCTGTTGAACATTCGAAATGTTGGTGTTTTACATTTCACGCACCTTTTCTCAATGTACACGTGTACATGATGAAATCACCTGTAGCATCAGTGCTAAATATGGCACAGTACATGCGCGTGTATTGTGTTTTGATCATGTTAATTCTATGATGGCATCCGTCTAGTCACCATGACATTTTTCCCCCTCTCTAAGCAACACTGCCACCCGCTGAGCTGGGTGAGCATGTAATGACCAACCAGGCATACACAGCTAGTAACCAGTAGCCATATGGTCCATCTCCCACCTCAGCAGCCAGATTATGCTGATGAGGATGAGTGTATGGCTAATCATAATAATCTACCCAGGCTGTCTCATAAGCCCCAGCCTCCCCTGCCAGTCTCATAAGCCCCAGCCTCCCTTGCCAGACTCCCCCCCCCCACGGGCTCAGTATTCAAACAAGCATCCATTATGCTAATTGTGACCATGGTCTATGCTCCTCTGTGGGTGCATTATAATATCATTACTGTCCCCTGAATGGAGGATGTGCGCATAACCTGGCTGAATTTCTCCCATGTGCTCTAGCTGACAGAGCATGTGTTCGGTATCCATTGCATAGAACTCTTTAATACATATTGCTTGAGGAGGAGTCTGTGTGTCTACCAGACCAGAGTGGTGAGTTGCCTGAATATCCTGCTTTGTTTTTGGACATTCCAAGGCGTAATTAGTGTCGATTGTATCAGCTGGACGGTTATCAGTTGTTGTCTGTCTTGGGTTTTGATCTGCGGGTCTTATCCCCTTGCATGTTTTCTGGGGGTGTAGGTGTTTACAAACTCACCTCAGTAGGAACCTGTGGCCTGTAATTAGTGTTATTGTGGTGTCACTGAAGAAACGAATATCTTGTAGCTGAAGCAATCATGTAAATTCATGGGTTACTCTATAGGCAAGGCCTGTTGCACACGTGTGGTCATTCCTTTTTTTTTCTTTCTCACAAAAGCAGAGAACTTCATCTCCATTTTTCCTTCAAGAATTTACTGAAATTAATGTACAGACTATCTGTGTGTGGCCCTCTACCATACATGCACTGTGTGTCAGGGGACTGACCGCCTTTGCAGAACAGTGGTACAGTCTACAATACTGTGGGTACCAGAAGGGGTGGAAACCATGCCAGAACTCCCGCTATTTTTTGTTTGTTTGGCATACCGGTATCTCTAAATTTTGAATGAAATCTTCGTGTTCCAAGTTTCATCTCTTTAATTAAAGATGCTTTAGTATTGTTTGTGTGGATTTTTCTTTCTTTTGTCTGTCAATGCAAAGTTCATTTCTATGAAATACAGAGTATTATTCCGTAGTAGAAAATATTTGGGACAGCTTGACAGTGCTCTGTTGTCGTGCTTTTCCACACAAGCAGGGGCGATATCAGCCTCCAGAAAGGGGATTGGGGAGTTGACAGGAGCCTCTGCAGAACTTGTGCCAATGGGCGCACTTTCTCTTTCAACAGGGTATCAGATATTGGTGCCCTCGCTGGCCGGCACCATGTCCAGGAGGGAAAGTTTCTTTTCTTAGGGAATTTTGGACAGGTTTGTTTGCGGGTTTTTGGGTGTCCTCACAAAATACTGGGTCCCCGCAGTAATTGTTGCTCGGCCGTATTCAACTCTTTTATTTTGCGGCAAATTTACCGCTGGATCTGGAAGAGGGACCGACTGTTTTGAAGAATGTCTCTGAGTGACGAATTAGGGGTAGGATGTTGTGTCAAACCCCATGCCCTTCCCGTACACCATGGGTTGAGATCCGGGGGAGGGGGGGGTGTACCCCAGCCCCACCTTTTGATCTTAGCTAAATACCCCTTGTCATGCCGGTACCAAATATAACCACCCTCCCCTCAGACTTTTCAAGTCACTGACTATACAGTACATGTACATACATGCGCACCCGTAGCCTACCCCACCGACTCCGCACTTGCCAGCGTCGGAACCTCACCTGTGATCGAGACCACTCTAAGCTCAATGAATGAATACAAAATCTTCCCTCCCCCCCCACATATGACAAGAAATCTCCGCCCATGGTGCACATGACGTGCAACGTGACGGCTTACATGTATTCCTTCCTATCCACAGACAAGAATCTAATGCAAACTGTATCCACGCTACCGTATCTGATGCCATGTCCATATTTCTTGGCTGTGACTTGAAATTACAGTGTGTTCACAAACATGTCCATACCGTGGTGGGGCAAATTTCATAGAGCTGCTTGAGCAGAGAATTTGCTTAAGCACGAAAAAACCTTGCTTGATAAACAAAGGTTACCAGCTCAAACTCTATGTGATTGTCATGCTAACCAAAAGACATCACATCACATGGAGTTTCGGCTGGTTACCTGATTTATCAAGTTAGGTTTTCTCGCGCTTAAGCAAATTTTGTGCTTAAGCAGCTCTTTGAAACTGACCCGTGGTTGTAGCTACTTTCCCGTCACATTGCGTGCAATTTCTAACTGCAGTCAAGCAATACATTAGGAAGTGGCCTTATACCGGTAAGTTATATTACATGTACCAGTATTAGGAAGATTTTCAGGGTAATAATGCGAACCTTATTTACATGTAATGGTGATTCCACATGGCACAGGAGTCATGTCAAATACAGACTTTCCACATGATACATGTATGTGCCTGGACATTCGTGTTCATAAATTCTAAAAATCACTCCAAATTAACGCGTCTCAGTGTCTCTGCAGTATGCAACCTTTTGAAGATAATCAGTTTACTTGCTGGCAATCCCACGTACGATACACGCAGTTTCAGTCCACGGACTTGACAGCTGGACACTGCGTATACATCTGTTTGGATTCTTTTTGTTAGTCGGCGAAATTTAATGCTACTCTGTCCCCTGTACATTTGGCGCAACTTCTCTGCCAACTGTTGAGCAGCTCGGTGAAGTTGACGCTGGGTTAAAATGTCAGGAATTATTTAGCTACCGTACATACATGTACGCACAAATGTTCACTTTGTAATCCCAATTAAACTCTCATTTTTTCCATGCTTCATTCATTCACCTGGACACCTGTGATCATATTCAGAAGGTGAGTACCTATTGTATATTGAATAGGTGGAATGTTGACCATTTCATAGTCTGTCCTATCCATTTTGTGACCTTCAACCTTTTAGGGCGCATGTACTGTACATACCATGTGTGGCTAGATAATGGTCATGCTTGTCAAAAGATTTAGCGTAGCTTTCCCTGTGCTGTAGTAATGGTTGTCGAAGTACATGTGTCGTGGCGCAGGAGACAGTCCTAGAACGACTGTACATTTACTCACATACATTGTGTAAATCCTGGTTTTGCGTAGATACAGCGTAGCATCCTAATTCTCTCACAGCTCGGCAGATTTCTTCCATGAGGAAGACATATTATTTTACCTGTACACATACCGTTGAAGACTTTGTGTGCACATCTTGCTTTTAGTGAGTCACATCAGAGATGGTACATGTAACCGCGTTTTTAGGTAATACATGTACTTACCTGGATGACGAGTTGCTGGTTCCACAGCCTGCATTGAGCTTACGACTTCTCACAGGTGCATGTGCACGTATTCCTGATTAGCGTTTATTTCTGTGGTTGACTGAATGCATGGTTTGATGATTAGGCTGCCGAAGAAAAGGTGCATGAGGAATATCACAAACACTGCTGCACACGTTCACAAAGGAGGCCCACCTTCATGTATGAAAGCTTTCTTTAGAAAATCCCGTCATTGTTGTGAGCAGAGTTGCCACCCAAACACAGCGAGTGATTTTTCTCAAATGAGCGGTCTTTGGCTTGTAGTCTTATTTTGGCAAGCCAGTGCTGCACAACCCTGACCTTCCACAAACAAGCTTGTGAGCAAGGTTCTGATGAAACCTATTTGCATGTGAGAGTTGCTGTGAACGAGTTTGGACTGCATTCAAAAGTGTAACATTTTTCTCCCCCCTTCCAAATTTTTCCTTCCAACCTAACTGCTGCCTAATCTACCGAATGCTAATGCAACTAACAATAGCTTGCTGGGTCTTGGGACAACCGGAGTTGCCGTCATTTTTGTTGGGGTCGTGAGAGAATCCCAACAAAGCTACAAAAAGACATACAGCCGGTGAGTGTCCATAGACATTTCTAAGACTGTGTTGAGTGGAACTGAGGGACAGTATAGTTAAAACAAATTTATTGCAATGGCCGAAAGACAGACTTCTGACCATGCTGGCGCGGTCTTCCAAACTCTGGGTGACTCCCCTCGCCATGCTCCCCGCAAGATGGGCTCCATGTTTGAGACCGTCGCGGGCGGAGGCAACTCGCTGCAGTTCTCCGAGGAGAAGCCCCGCCCGCAATCTGCCAAGAAGGATGACAAGGGCATGGACTCGCCACGTAATCCCCGCAAGCCGATGGGCTCTATGTTCACCACTGTCGAGGCCAACCAGGACAGCTTCAAATTCCCCTCAGAGCGGGGTGAGGGGCGTCCCCGCCCGCGCCAGGATTCCGGCGCCGGCACCGAGTCGGACGGCTCAGGTTACTCCTCGCCTCGGCATGGGCGCAGCCGTGTCAAGGGCTCCATGTTCGACACAGTGGATGGGGGTGGCAACTCGCTCCAATTTGACTCGGAGCGGAAGGTCGGCAGCGCCCAGCGGAGCGACTCGAGAACGAGCAACGTCAGCGACTCTCCTAGGCACACCCCACCCGATGCCGTCTTCAACATAGTGGAGCAGGGCAGCGGCAACCTGGAAGCGGGGAAGGACCACAAGCGAGACCCCTCGCCCATCTTCGAGAGGACGCCCCGGGTGAGGAACACGCCCACCCAGAGCAAGTCGTGCGGTGGGGGGCCCGAGAGCACCGACGGGGGTACCATCCCCAGGGACATGACCATGAGCATGGTGCCAGTTGACGAAGATGCGGTAATGTATCTCGTTGTTGATGTCCCACATGCTTTTCCATCACTGGCCTGCCTCTTCAAGTTTGGTTGCAAGTTCTTGTGTTTGGTGTGTGTCAGGCACGAGACACGTGTATTCTGTAAAAGTTTGACAAATTTTTGTTTTGGTAGCGCTCTCTTCCCTAAGTCTTTCCAGGAAGTGGCGATGTGTGTCACGTGCAGAAATCTGCTGTCTTTTTCTTTCCTTTTGCACTTTTCCCACCAATTCCTTTTATTTCGTGTTTGTGTCATTCTTTCATTTTCTTCAAGTTGTCACAACTTCCCAATTTTGATTTGTGTGATGCACTTGTACGTGTACTTCTCATCACCTTTGGCAGAAGTAATTTTTCTTTCTTTTAAGATCACCTCCCTTCATCATGTACTGAACTGTAGCTTCATTCTGTCTTCCTTGCTCTTAAAAAAAAAGCAATTTGTTTTGGATTGGTTGGTGTGGTACGATTTTATACTGCTGTGTGCGCAGCGAAGGGACTGACCTTTGCTTCACTAGTTGAAGTCTTCAGATGAACAGTGTTATCTATGGGCAAATGACAGCGAAGTGAATACAGTGAAGTTATGGGATGCTACACATGTAGGGCTCCCTTCCATTCCTTGCCCTTACAAACTTCACAACGTTTGGCATAGGTTGCTCAAACACCACCAGCTTCAGTCTTTCCTTCAATACTTGTGCATTCATTGTACAAGTACAGAGGCAACCTACAGGGTGTACATGTACCTGTATGGCGTACATATACATGCAGGGCAGGAATTTCGTTGGTGAAGGGGCAAGGCAATTTCTCATTTGCAAAGGGCTCTTGTATTAGAAAAGCAACTTGTCTTTGGAAACATTTGAATGGGCATTGAGGCAAAGACCAGGAGCATCAAGGCAGTTGCGTCCGATACCTCCGTGAAGTTCCTGCCCTGTACCATGGCAACACTTAAAGACCATTGTAAAGTATTTCAAAGATGATTATGATTTTGTAGACTTTGTATTCTAATGTGCTTATTTGAATCTTCAGTATAGTGGTATTTGCCGTGTGGAGACATACATGTGTACACATGTACACATGACTTTTTTGTACACGGAATATGTGTGAAAGGTATGTATGGTACGTGTACAGAAATGTGATCTTAGAGTAAGAACAAATTCAAAATAAATCTTTAAAAAGTAAACAAAAATAAAGTCCAAAGAAATGAGAGAAGGCTTAACGTGTACATGTAGCGGTACATGTAAATTGAATTAAAACATTAAATACTGCAAGCTTTCAAGCCTGCATATCCCTTTTCAGAGCACTTGACCTTAAGGCCACTGGGTCGGGCTCATAGTGGCTGCTTGCATCAGCGCTGAATTAATTCCAGACATAAAAATCCCTCAGGCTCTGCAGGTGAAGATATTTCTCCACAAGGCCGCATGCATGACAAAAGAAAAAAAAAATAATAAAGCAGAATGTGAAAGAGCCAAAAAGCTTGCACGTTATTGCTTGAGGTTTATATTGAAAGGATTTAACTCCACTTTTCTAATCACTGAATCAGTTGATAGGGACCTAGCCTTTTGACTTGATTGCGATATCTCATGTACATGTATCCCCAACGTAGGCTGGTGCCGGTACACGTACATGTACCCTGTACAGAGTTTTGTGGGAAAAGATACAAATTTACATGCTCTTATACATGTCCGGTACCTGTAAACCTCATTTTCTGTATCGTAAACATCCAGATAACATTCTACTGCATGGCAACTATAACTTTGCCCTTTGCAGTAAAAAGAACTCATACAGCAATATGTGCGTGGGTGGGGGTTGGTTTCAAGCACTTTATACCCCCCTAAACTGTTTATTTGGACATCATGGACTGTGTACCAGAGCTTGATCATGACATCAATTCAAACTCTACTCTGCTACTGCAGAACACAGATACATGTATCTTACTACATGTAGCAGTGGTATTTCTTATTGGACCCCCGTTTTCCTTCATCTAAAAATATTTAGGTTTGTTTCCCTTTGGTTGAAACGAGAGCGCATAGTCGGTATGTGCGAGCCATTGCACCCGTGCATGGAGTCCTTCCTTGGTTCGTGTACGTGTGTTATATTTCAGAGTGGACGTAAGGTCCTACTCGGCCTAAGACACATCTCGCGATATGTCCTTAGGCTGAGTAGGACCTTGGCTTACGTCCACTCTCAGAAGAACACAGATGCACATTTTACTCGTAGTAGCATTTCTGATAGGACCCCCATTTTCCTTCACCTAAAAGTATTTACATGTAGGTTCATTAGCCTTTATTGGAAACGAGAGTGCATAGTTGGCATGTGCAAACCATTGTGCCCATGCATGGAGTCCCTCCTTGGTTTGTACATGTACTTTGTATCATTGCATGTGTAATTAGTTGACGAAACAGTGCCACAAAGTTCCTGGGTAGACTGCACGTACCTACACGTGCCACCTTCACCTTTCTACATATTGAAACTTGAGGTCCAGTTTCTTTCGCGCCCCTGTCACACTTGACATGTCGTTTTGTAACTTTAGAGGAACTTTAGCAATTTCCCCAAAATGGATAAAGTAAATTCTGTGCCAAACAGATGAATATAGTTGGGAATCCATTTCAGTGTTACTTTCATGTCATACTACTCACCAAAATGTCACAGGTACATTTATGTCACATGGCAGGGTTAAAAACTGTTACAAAACTATCGATGATCTGTGACCCGCCCCACACAGATTTTAAGGCAGCCAACGAGTACATGTACCCTGTGCATGCTTGTGTGCATTAAACTTATGACTTCAGTTTTTAGGCATGTGCAACGATTAACCTTTTAATACAGTGAAAATTGTAAAACAAAATTATCGTGCTTGCTCAATACGCTGAGTTGTGACTAATACCTACCGGTATATAATCATAAATGTTAAGTATGAATGAATTTAGCTTATTGACATCGTGCAAAACATAGAAATGAAATATTCTGTTGCCAATAAACATTGCCAAGCATTCAAAATAAAATATTTTAAAGAAAATGCAAACAGTTGCACATCATTGGGTTGCCTGTTGTCATGGTGACAGATGTCAAAGCAAATACATAATTGTAGTTATCCAGTCACTGACTGGAAGGAATTTTCCATTTACTCAATTTATCATATTTCCTGCTTGTTTATTTGTAAATGTCTGAAATTGTTCAGTGGGGAAATACCACGCCAGATGGAAATAGCTACATTACCCAAGTGATCTGGAAGCAGCGTTCGAGTTTAATAATGCCATCAATCAAACCTAGTCCATTTCAACATACACTGTAGCACCGCAGATACATCCATCCTCCAGTAAATACTCTGGAAATTTGAATTTTAGAGACGATTTGTGAGAAATGGTCATTTTTTTTTTTGCTGTCATACAACCAGAGAAGGACAGAGGCATTTTCAGTAGAGAAAACGCCTGTTACATGTATACAGTAGCATATGCAGGGAGATCCGTTTCTAGTTTTGATAGCCGGATCCAAGTTGAATTAGATATGGCATATTGTTCATTGAGCCCTTTACCTTGTGACATTTTAGGGGTGTACATGTACGGAGTACGTGTACATACACTGTACATGCACAGGTACATGCACCTGCATGCATGTGAGAGAATACAAAGGTGTCTGGGCCTTTCAAACTGACTGATCAAACAAAAGAGGGGGAAATGGTTGTTTAGAAGTGGGAGCAAATGTGGCAGGGCTTCATTTTCAAGGGAGCCTACATGTACATCAATCTCAACTCAAGTAACTTGGACCAGACCTGCCAACATGTCGCACTCCTTCCTGAGGTCAGACAATTACCACACAATAGATTAAAGTTTTAAATGAACAGAAGGCTGATTTTAAGTACCTTTTAATCTACGTGTATTGCGTGGTAATGCCTGACCTCAGGAAGGAGTACGGCAAGGTTGGCAGGTCTCTTGGAGCAGGAAGCTCTGATGTGTTCAAATTGTCCTGTGCTCACTATTCAAGTATGATGAAAAATGAAGTCCTCCAAAATGGAATGGCTAAACATCCAGGTGATGTGGTGAAGGATCAGAATTTCTTAAGTAACGATCTACTCCAGCCATTGACAGCACTTGTAATGTATGTAGATGTATAGCAAAATGTTCCTCCAAGTCACACACTTCATTCAAGCCATAATTTCCACTTCATGAACCCTTCCAGTCATTTCACAAGTAGCATTCACACCCAAGAAGACATCTTTTGGGGCTACTCTTTGGAGGGACAGCAGATGAGATCAGATAATAAGATGAAAACTGATTTATGAAACGTCAAAAAGGAATCCTCTATGCTGTAAAATAGCCTTGAAATAGTTTAATTATATCTTGCCCCAGCTCACTCAATCAGTGTGGATTCATGATTACATTCCTGCATCCTGATGTGTCATCTGGTGTAATCTTGATTGATTTCAGTTGTCACCTCTGCTGGTCACCTCTTTGCATACCGGTAAAGGAATAAAACTGCATGCAGCACAGGCTGCACTTACTGGGTAGGAAGTCTAGAACCCTGAGTGTAGTGATGTTGTTCCTAATTGGAGCAACACAGGAACCCTGTCTTTAATTTAAATGACCAGGGCCACAACCCACTGAATTATGCATACTTAATTTGCTTTAACTGGTGACAGTTGCATCTGGATCGCCGGCCGTGCTCTGTGAATACAGACTTGCCACATGGTTGCCTCGCAAGAAGAGAAAAAAAGCAACAGCAACGGGCAAGTTCACTCAAGGACTATAGTTAACCATAGTTTGACAACATGTAACTCTGATCGAATGCTCGCAAGTCGACGATGGTTGGACTAATCTAGTTAAATATTTGCGACCAGCCTATTGAGGTTGGTCGCATCATTGGTTGCCATGAATCGTTTTTAACAGCACAGTGCAGAGAGGACCAGTTATAAGAAAAAAAGCCAGCAAAACAGTATGTCGCTAGTAGGCAACCATTGTCATTTTTATATTTGCTATTTTGCCCTTCCTGCGGGCACAAT